CATCATTTAATCCCTATCAGAGAATTTACATAACATATTTTTAATTTTAAATTATTCTTTCAAAAGATACTATGTGAGGATATAAAATAGTAAATGTGCTGAATTAATTTTTGCTTTTAAACACATTTTATGGGAGAATCATTGCACCAGAGAGATTTTAACAAGTAGCGCTGTGTTTTCACTCGATATTTTAGAACTGATTTTTATTGGCAGTGTCACACTGGGGACGCTGGGCCATGGTGCTTGCAAGGGAAACATACTCCAACTTTTGCCACTAGATAATGGAAACATGATAATGAAAACACGGCCCTTGTCCTGTAGCTGTTTGTTTGCCTCAAATACATTATATCTCCATTTGTGATAAATGCCTACATAGCTTGTGTAAAATGTATGTGTAATGTTTCCTTCAGCTTCTTGTGACACGTTAGCAGAACAGTATGTGAACGTATTGGCACCTTTTCACAAGCAATAGAGCCCATTGCTTTAGGAGCAAAAAGAACACAATTAATTAAATCAAACAGTTTATTGAATAAGAATTTTTGAGACCTACCTGACCACACTTAAAATTGATGTAATCTGTATTTTAAGAAAACAAAATTCAATACAATTACTTTTTGCTGCTAGAGGTTTTACATATAATGAGATGCTAAACCCTTTGGGCCATATTCATGTTGGTACTAACTGAATTCAGTAGATGTGTATTAATTTATAGCAGAGGTGTTCTGTTAGTTTACACTAACCTAAAAGGGGCTCATCCAAGTGCTTGACAAGCTTTTGATAATATATTCCTTCAGCTGAATGATACAGTTGGGAAAGGCAGGCACGGTCTTGCAAAGAAAGATATTTTTCAGGTCTGCAATGAAACTGGAGCTTACAAACACTTGAGATAGCTCTTCTGCATACCAATTTGCCTCACAAAGCAATGATCTCTCCCTGCAGACTTTGCCTTGCTTATGCCTCTGGCTTGTCAGAGCTATCCCAAACTTCTATAGGGAAGTTTCCTGCCTTGCAGGAAATGCTGGTAGATCAGTGCATCCTCTTCGGATTATACATGGCTAGAAATCCCACTGATTGTCTTTCTCTACCTCTCAGAGGCTCCCTGAGGCTATAAATTTAGTGATCGAAAAGGCAGACATCTGGTTCAAGGTCATTGCCTGGACTCCTTCTGCAGACGTGGGTGAGACAGGCACCTCCAGTGGGCAAATCATCCCGTTGACTGATGTGACGTGGACCTTTGCCTGGCATTGACAAAAGCATACTTCTGTTTTCAGAAACCTTTCTTCTGAACAGAAAGGAAATGAACCTTGAGTTGCTTGTACCATACGCTTCTTTAGAATAAAAGGTAGCATGTGTGGGTTTGTTTTTAACCACACACACATACAGACAGCACACTGTCTATCAAGTAGAAAACTTATCCAGGTGGTTTTAAGAGGTCTTCATAACAAAGCAAAAGGAATATGAACAGTTAGTTATAAGGGACTCTTTGAAATAACGTATAGTATTAATCTAATCCAAGTCTGAAGTTACAAAAAATCAGCAACAAACTCAGCTCAGAATTAGGAATCCTCACAGCCACTGACAATTTATTTCCTTAAAAAAAAAAAAAAAGGCAGCACCACTTTCCTATTTGGTAACTGTATTGTTTGAAATGTGATGTCCAAATAATTGTCATGTTTCCAAAATCCCTGAAGCGTAAATAACAATTAGCAGAACAAAAGTGGTTCAGGCAAAGCTATTCTTAAGGAGATTCTCATCATCTTTCAAACTGTGATTGCCTGGAAAACATCATCAAAATTATTCACCTTAGATGAATCTCAGCATCCACTGTGCTGATGTAGATCCCTAGCATGGTGAATAGATGGAGAGACCTTTTTTAAGCACTGGATCTTGAGGAGGGAAAAGCTGCTCCTTGCTACCTGTCAACAGCGTTGCTTTATAGCAGAGGCTTGTGGACCTGCTTCAAGAACTGCTTAAAACCGCTACAGTGTGTTTCCCAGCACAATTAAGTTTTGGCTCAGTAATAAACACAAAGGTTTTATGGGATATTTCTAGTTTAGAAGAAGCAATAACGAGCAGCTAGCTGTTAGGAGGCTGATGAAGGGCAACACAGAGGAAGGGAGCAGTCTCATCTGTGCCAGCCATTAGACCCGGCTCAAGGAGTGGGAAAGATAAGCCACTGGTTGCAAGTCAAAGGTTAAGAAACACTGTTGTGGCTCCAGAAGCAGTTGCACAAGCAGTTTCAGTACTTGATGGGGAGGGACTCTTTATCAGGGAGTGTAGTGACAGGGTAAGGGGTAATGGTTTTAAACTGAAAGAGGGTAGATATAGATTAGATACTAGGAGGAAATTCTTTGCTGTGTACCAGAAGAGGTTGCCCAGAGAAGTTGTAGATGGGGCATCCAACTCCCTGGCAGTGTTCAAGGCCAGGTTGGCTGGGGCTTTGAGCAACCTGGTCTAGTGGAAGGTGTCCCTGCCCATGTCGGGGGGGGGGAACTACATGATCCTTAAGGTCCCTTCCAACCCAAACCATTCTGTGAGTCTATGATTCTATGATTGGCAACAAGGGATCTTACTCCTTCTATTTTGCTTCTTCCACCACAGACACACTTAACAGAAAAAGAAATGCAGATGGGATGAGAAACATAATTTAGGATCTCTCACAGGGATGATTTTCCTCTGTCAAAAGAAATGTACACATGGCTGGTGTTTGCATTCAAAGCTCCTTTGTAAAAGAACTTAATAGTTCTAGAGCATAGTATCACAATAATGAAAGCTTGCCTAGTTTAATGCTTGGGGAAAAAAAAAAACCAACAACCAACCCCAAAACATGATGACACTAGAGCAAGTGTACCCCTGAAGAGGAGGGGTGTTGTGATAGAAAGCTAGAGAAAGCCAGGGGAAAGGAGAGTGAGTGCAGAGCTGTGTCAGAGAAGAAATGGAGCAGAGGGTATGAAGCTAAGTCAGGAAGGAGCGGGAGGCCACAGGCAAAATAAGGCGCATTCAGGGATACAAGCAGGAGCCTCAAAGAGGGTGTGATATAAGGAGATGGTGGCAATAAAAAAGCAAGGAGGCTGGGGCAAGAGAATAAGGGCTGACCGGCAGAAGCAGCAGTGTGACAAGAGTCAAAGAAGCAAAATCTCCAGGCTGATGTTCCCTTTACCATGTATGTGCCACAGCCTAAGGAAACTGCTCCTAAAGGGGAGGCATTAAAAACCTTTACATGAAATTAAATGAAATTTGTTTCAAGACTTCATCCCTCCTGCACCCTTCTTAGTAACAAAACAGCTGTGCGACTGTTGGGAACACTCTACTCCATTACAGGAAAACACAAAAAAGCAAAGTTAAGCCTAAGGCCTTGGTGAGTAAATACCGTCATAGGCACAGTGGCTATAATGCGAGGAGATCTGGTATGTCTATAGCAGTAGGTTTATGTTTGCTGTCTCTCTTGGGATTTGTGTATGTTGAATAGGATTAATTGCTTCAGGAAGTGAATTGTGCTTTTAAACTTCCTAGGCAGCTGTGGGATACGCTGCAATGATCATTAAATGCTTTGGCCATGGTTAACATAAGACTAGGGCCAATATTTCTGCACACCTCCATCAAAATGAATGAAGCGTGCTGATAGGTTTTTCTCATCCCATAATATATTTTCCTTTCTACATGTTTAAACAGCAGTGTTAAGTTCTATAGCTCTGGAAGGATGGAAGAGCAAAGAAGGTGCTTCTTACACCTGTAATGGCTCTGGAGCAAATGTCAGAGGAAAGAGGTACTAATTATTGGGCCCTCTTAAGTGCTACAAGATACCTGACACAATCCCAGGCCCACGGAGGCATTTAGTGTAGTGGGAACTTGGATCTCACTGAACTAGTTGGCACCACTTAAAATAAATCAGGATTGCATTGTCATCAAAGATACACAGATAAACAAAGTTATTTGTACTTCATCTTCATACTGACTGAGTCTGACAGCAATGAATCCAATTAGCTTTTCACAGAAGACAATGAAATTAAATCAAGAATGATTTTGGCCTTTTGGATCTGAAAACTGTGTAACAACATGCACTTCCGCTGTAAACATCTGCTTTATTTTTTTTATTTTCTTTGTATGACAAAGGTCAACACAGGGAATTAATCCAGAAAAGAGCAAAAACTTTTCACAGCAGTAGGCAGGGAAATCAGAGAAGTACTTCCCCTCATAAAATGTTTGACTGAGGTTTTTTGTTTAGTTGTGTCACACAGCTTTTATTTCCAACAGTTAAGATGGACCCGCCCCCCCAAAAAAGATAAACCACTGTATCATTTTTATACTACCAGACTAAATATAATCCCAATTTTAAGTCCTACAACTTCTCAAAAATTCATAGCATTTTTTTACAAGTACTGTGCCTTATGTTCTTTTAATTACACTAGAAATAGGCTTAAGTGCACCTAGTTTTCTTCCTAAATGTTATAACAATAGATGAATAAAAATCACATTGAATACTACTAGTGAAGCTGATGTCTCAAGCTGTGCCTTTGGAAGTATGTGAGTGAAACTCCTTCTGGAGATTTACTGTCCAATGTGCAGTTGTCACAGTTCAGAATCTAGCCATATGTGTTAGTCAAGTGCAGGCAACCTTTTCAAAGCAGTGTGATGTAAATATGTATCTAAATTCACCTAAATTCTTGAAGACATAGTAATAATTTGAAAATCATACCTTCTTGGACTAGATCCGATTTAGAGAGATGCCAGAAATGTGTAAAAGAAAAGAAAGGTTGTCCCAGGATAAAAAATAATGTGACGGACTAAAGACATACAAAACAATTACATGGCTAATTACGTGCCATTTTAAGTAGAATATTTTAGTGGGCATGTTTAAAAGATTGGCTAATATAAAGTTTATAAATTCAGATGAATTTTAATGCAAAGTCTTAAGATACTGTACAAAATTCCTCTATAAGCCTATCAAAGCATGCATAATCATAGGATGATTTGCATCTTTGAAGAAAATCTGGAGAACAAATATGGATTTAGGAACTGACTGTAGGGATAAGCCACCATTGCACTGAAAAATAGTACTGTGACAACTATAGTGTGCTAACTAAAGTGAAGGACAGGAAGAATTTCCTTATTTCTGATTAAATTCCTTTCCCTCATTCACTGCTCCCCCACTACAACTTGAAGAGCAAAGTTTATGCCTTTGGAATGCAGCAGATTGCCCCAAGTGTTATGGGTTTAGATTTGTTTTTTCTTTTTAATTTTTCCCCTCCAGGGACAGAATGCTTCTGGGGATCTCTCATTTCCTTGACAAACTGCACAATTTGATTGCCGGTTCCAGCATAACATATGCAGTTTATAAGAACAGTGCATTCTTTTGCTCTCTATAAAAGAAAATAAAGTCACTAAAAAGTCTAGGGAAAATGCCAAATTCCCAGGAAATAAAAACTTCTGCCTCTGTGTGTGCGTGTGTGTGTGTGTGTGTGTGAAATTTAATAGCTTTTGAATGAAGTGACATTTTTATTGCTTTGAGGCATACATGTATTGCAATAGGTTTTATTATTTTGGAAGACGGAAGTGTGAAGAAAGAAGCTTAAAAAAAAAAAGGTAAAAGTGATGTTACATTGAATAGAAAATATTTGCATTTCATTTGTTTAAAAATAAGCTATTAAAATGCATCATGTGATTCTTCACATGTCAGCCCGGACAAATGAAGCAAAGATGCCGTCTTCTTGAGAAAGTAGGTTCTCAGGCGTATCATATTCTAAAATGTTCCCTCGCTTCATGACGATGACCAGGTCTGCAGTCAGGATGGTGTGAACCCGATGCTGCCGTAAAGAAAAGCATACAGACGTTTTTGTTATGATAATTCTCACTGCAGTTCATTAATGGGCCTAATACAAGGCATACCAAGTCGGTGAAAGGCTATCCTTGTTTACAGTGGTATTTGGAGTAGGTCCTTGTACTATATCTTTAATCTGAGGAGATCTCCAATTACTTTACAGCCTCTGCCACAAAGCCTGAAAATACTTAAGCACGCACTTCACTTTCATTCTGCTAATTGCCATTATGGACAGCCCAGCTGTTGGAATAAATCCTACGGCGTCGCTGAAATACATCTTCCCCTTTAGGAAATATGGGCGAGAAACATCCTGGCTATGCCTGCACTGTCTGGCTTAGCATCCTGCTCCGCTCCTTGGTCTCTGTACCCCGACTGCCTACTCTGCGCCTGTCTTAGGGCATTCCTGGGCTGTCTCCTTCTGTAAATGAATTAGCTCTCTCTGAGATTAAATTTGAGTGTGCTACAGGCGATAGTTTAGCCCCACAGGGAACAGGAATGAAACCCGGCCGAGTTTGGTTTCAATGCCGTATGAATACAGCCAGTCAGGTATAGACAGAATGAACTCTAAAAGTGTGGTATTTCACTATATGGGCTGAAGGTCAGGGATTACTTTATGGGGCAGATTTCTTTGACATGATAGATTCAATGTTAGCTGCATGTCTAAGCTTCAGTTAGATATGATTAGTATAAATAGTCACGAAATTAAACAAACCTAGGAACAACACAATAAACACATTCTTGCACTGTCATCTCAGAAGCTGTGCAGTAGAAAGGAAGCAGAGTGAAAGGAAACTAAAGAGGTAAAAATAACTACCAAAGAGCCAGAAGTCTCGTGAACAGTGTGGACTGAGAGACTCTACTTGTGAGTCTTCACCAAAGTGGTGAACAGGCCGTCCTCTTTGAGGAGTAAGTTTGAGGCAGTGTCACATTCAACTAGAAAGCCCTCAGAAAGGACTAGGACAATATTGGCGTCCAAGATGTGAGATACGCGATGCTGGAAAAGAGAAGAGAAAAACAGGTGGGTGAAGGAAGGAACAGCCATGAAGGAAGAGAGGAAGGAAATGAAGCCAACTCTGTGAAGAAAGCTAAATATTAATGTGTGCTATTTTGCTTGAGACATTGGCTTTGGAAAGGCAAAGCAAAAGAAAAGTGAGATTGTAGTCAGAAGGACAATACTGAAAATTTGAACAGCATGTAACTGAAGGAGAATATGCTTGCCACTAGCATTGTCAGCATTTACACATCCAAGAACCTTAGAGCCTATTGTAAATGAGCTAGGTTAAGTGGTTTGCCTGACACGAACTAGTTGCTGACAAGACTTGAAACCAGGGTCCAGGAGGCATAACTCTAATCTCTAACCACAGCACTGGATTCCAGGCAAAGCAAATGAAACAGCTGTTGAAATATGTATTTATCTCGTGGATAAAACATCCGTTTGTCGAGCAAGCCTGCTGTCACAAGGTGGAACTATTCTTAACAGTATTTGCTCTATGTGTGTGCACGTGTACGCATGTATATGTATGCATGTACATGTGCACACTTGCACAGATATATGGAACTTTTGGGCACTAGAAATGGCAGGAAAACATGAAAAAATATAAACCCTTATTTGAACATATACTAATTTTTGAGCAATTCCCATTGATTCCAATTTTTCAAACCTTTATCATATACACAACCTTTTATTCTGAAAGAGAGAAAAGATAACCCAACTTGAGAAACCAGACCAAACAGATTTTGAAATCTCATCTCCTTTTATAAATTTGTGCCATGACTGTAGGCACTATAAATGCATAGACTTCAGAGGCAAACATCAAATCTAGATTTTGACAGAACTTTCAATAATGTTTTAGCCTATGGGTTCGGTTTAAATTTTTTAGAGAGAATGACTTCAAGTTTTCTTGGAGACAGTGTAGGTGCTGCCATTCCCTGTAAAGTCCTTCTTCAGATCTAAGTGTTCTAGTTTGGCCCACTTGATAGCAAGATAGCATTTACTGCAAAATTTCAGGTTGATCTTATGTGTCTTGACTTGTTCTAGTATCTGGGAATATTCTTGTGTTCTACTTTTACTTTGTGATGTTTTTAGTTTTATATAGTGATGTTTAACTGGTGAAAGGCAAGAGTAACTGCCTGAGGAATGAGGAAAGAGCATTTGCTGGCATCAGTACTTACCGCTATTGTCACAACTGTGCGGTCTGCAAAAGCAGTCATCACAACCTTCTGCAAAATGTTTTCCTGTCAAAGGAAAAGGCTTACTTCAGTTACTTCATCCTTTTACATTTTAATTCATGTGTCTTTAAGCACATAAGAGAGAGGGTCATTTTCCATACTACCTCTGATCTGCACACCAGATTCTCAGTAATGAAATGCCACACCTGTGAAAGCAGGGATTTTCTAAAACATTTCATTTTGTCTTTTTTCCCCTCACTCCCTAAAACACATCAACAGCAAGGGCTGAAACCAAACACAGGAGAAAAACAAAAAAGCTGTCAGTTTTTTCTGCTAAAGAGAACTCATGGCTCACATTGGGGAAGATGCCTCTTCTTCTAGTAGATCCGTGCATCGATGGTGCTAGTTGCTATACTTACTGTGGCCATGTCAATAGAAGCTGTGGCTTCATCCATGATGAGAATGCTACTTTTGCGGACAAAGGCTCGGGCCAGACAGAAGAGCTGCCTTTGCCCTACACTGAAGTTCTCTCCTCCTTCTGTGACCATTGCATCTGTAATAAAATCAGTTACTTTGAATGTCGCACCACTGAAATGCTGTACGTTCATACAATCAGTCAAGAAAAATCCCTGTAAAAGCCAATAAGCATAATCTTGACTGAACACTGGAATGGAGTGATATCAAGAAAAGCGAGCACAGCTTTTTGGGAAAGGAGCAATATATCATTAAGCAAAAAGTTGGCACAAATAGTTAGCAAATCTGGTAGCTGCAGGATATTATCTTAATAACATGAAATACACTTAATATGGAAGGAAATATGTGCGTTTCCTTCATGAACCAGATCTGAAATGGTAAGGAAAATGCTCTGTCGGTGTTCTAGACAAGAGCTACAGCTCTACTGGCAGAGCCAGATTCTGCTGAAGGAGTGGAGGTAAACCTGCTCTTTTTTAAGTCTTTGCTGACTAGTCACCCCACTATGATGTTGAGGTGCTGCAGGATTTTTCTGCAATGAGTGGAAAACCAGACTACTCTTCAGCTTTTTAGTAAGAATATTCTCTCTAGCATAGAGACAGAATATTCATTAGATGCCTGTCAACTCCTACATGATGGTTCAGAGTGTAAGATCCCATGTATCTGTTTATATGTGTGTATGCTCATGCACGCACAGTTTCATTATTGGCCTATGTTCCCAGAGACTTAGTTCAGACATACCAAGGCCTCCTGGCAATGACTTGACCATGTTCTTCAACTGAGCAATCTCCAAAGCTTCCCAGAGCCTATCATCGGTGCATTTGCATTCTGGATCCAAATTAAAGCTGCAAAGAAAACCATAACTGGGGTCTTGTTACTGCAATTACAGTTCATTCAGTCTTCTGCTAAGGAACATTTTGGCATTGTGTATGTCACTTGACTTCCCTTGGACAGGCTGTGTAGATAGATTGGACTGAGCTAGGAAGGGTCCTTCCCTTTTCCATCCGTTCCTGTTCCACAGCGCCCATCACAAACACGCCATGCAATGCTGCTTGTCACCCCCTGATGGCATACACCTACCGGATGGAGCCACTGAACAATATTGGATCCTGGAGAATAATGGACAGTCGGGAACGGAGAGTATGAAGAGGCAATTTGCTGATGTCTATTCCGTCAATCACTATCCTCCCTGTTTAAAACAACATGCAGAAGATATGTGAGGGAATTGCACAAAGCATGTGATCTGCAGGTAGCGGACAGAAAGATAAAACAGCTAGTTTGGGCTGGACTGCAGACGATGAGGCAGTGTGCCTCTCTGATCTCTCAGCGCTGTCACGTAAACATGGGGAAAGTGAATCTACGTAGTAACGCAAGCCAGAAGGAACCCAGCTTATTAGTGACACTGTTGCCTTGCTCTCTTTCTCTGTTTTCTTCCCACCGTCCCTTAAAGGAAACACGTGGCTTCCATGCTGTGTGATTAATGATAGCACCAGAAGGATAATTTTGGGGGGGGGCAACCTGAGCTTTACAGCCGAACAGAGTGAGAACAAGAGCAACTTATGTAATTAGCCACGTCCTGTGCCTAGCCTATCTCTGTTCCCCTTGACTTTAACAGTTGCAGAAGGTATTTAACTTGATATTGTGCACAATTTCTTTTGCATAATATATGTATGTATCTGCAATCAATACACCAGGAGTCAAAACTATCTTTCAAACTCTAGAAGGAATGGGGTAGCATTAACTTTTTAACAAGATCAGAAAAACAAAAAGGATGTCCTACTCCAAGGCATTTTAATACCATTCATGCTGGTTCCTACAGCTCAGTTTCATTTGAGTATTTGGTTGTGAATTAGCCACATACTGTTCTGCTAGCATAAGATTACTGGAAGCAGTCTCATTAATCGCTCAACCCAGTAGTTCATTCCCGATAAGAAGCTGTTGCAACAGCTGGGATACTTGGTAAAGTTAGAGGATTTTTTCCTTCTAGTCACTTCCTTTTCTAGTCACTACTTCAGGTCAATGAGCATATGGATCTCATCTGAAAATCTGATTTATGATATGCTGGGTGTGGCAACTGCTGATATTCAAGCAAGGGAGGTGGGGGAAAAGTACAAGAGAGACTGGTTGGCTGCTCTGTAAGTAGAAGAGAGTGAGAAGGGCAGAATGAATTTCTTCCCTTGAATCCTCAAACAAAAGCCAGGAACTACTGACCCCACTGACTTTCCCTGGACACAGGAACATCCTCTAGGTTATGGGGAAGGGATGGGCCAGGGCAAACTGAATGAGGGTATGGTAAGGGGTATTTTCATCAGGCTCACTGCTGCAGTTTCCCTGTGGATTACTTCACTGGGCAGCTGCACTCCTCCCTGGGTAGTACCCAACATTAAGTTCATCAGTTCTCTGTCCCAACAGCGAGAACTTAACCCTGAACTGGCAAATACATGGATATTCAAAGCTGTGCACGTATGCCTCTTCTGTCATTCCCAATTGTCATGACACTGCATTTTGTAGGTTACTCTGTGTAGCCCTATTCCAATGAAAGACTTAATCCCCACTTAGCTGGACTACCAATAGTCTTATGCTTTTGTTAGATAGTCAGAGGAACTAAGATTTCATCTGTAGGGTGCAAAGTCCAGTTGTTTTCAGACTTTCAGAAAGTCTGAATCAGGTCATAAGACTTCAGCATGAGACATCAGTGGTTGCATAAACTTAAGCAATTCCTTTTCTTCACAAATGAAGACACGAGAGAGGGTTAGGAGAAGATGAGGTGGACTAATGAGAGAAAAATTAATATGGCATGCCTTGGGAATAGGAGAATGCATTTTTGATAGAAGCCGGGGTGCTCAAGGAAAAGAAAAGAGCAGATGAAGGGACCTATGGGAAAAAGTAAATTGAAGAGGAGTTGGGAAAACAGGAAAGTAATGAGAGCTGGCCAAGCAAGACAGAAGAGAAATGAGAGGTAGTTTGAACAGAGGGCAAGAAAAGGGAGACACTAAAGAACAAAGAAAGAAGTGAGAGTACGGGAATAAAATGGACACATACAAATTTAAAGAAGTAACAGAGACATAAGGAACCAAGATGGACAACATGAATGAAATTTTGGCTCCAGTAAAGTTACTCGAAATCTTGTTATGTAACTTTTATTAGAGCCAGGACTCCACCCAGAATGGGACCAGCATAGAGGCCAAATATGGGTCTAGCTGAGAGAGAGAGGGATGTGCACAAAGGATAAAGAGAGCTTGATTACAAAAGACTTAGGCATTCTCATTGAGAAAAATCAGGGATACAGAAGGAACAAACAAAGAAAAGATACAGAAAGAAGATTAAAGTAGAAGGAAGCTTAAAGTTGGCCATAAACATAATTATTATTTGTTTGCACTATTTATATATCCAGGAACCCCGGTCATGAATCATAAACCTATTACCATAGATACATATAGGCACAGAACCACAACAAAAGCAAGTTTTGCTTTTGCTGCATCAGATTTACTTACCCTCCTAGAGCCTACTAGGGTTTCCCTGGCAAATGTTCCATGCATAATGGCTAAATTAGAAACATGGAAATCTTTGAAACAAAAGGATGACTTTCCAGTAGGTTTCCGTATTCCCTGCAACAGCACACATATATAGGTATTATAAATGCCAGGGTGCATATTGCTGCATACCAGTTCATGCCAATTAGCTGGGAGAGTGAAATGCTGCAGGAGTGAAAACATAGCAAAATGTTTCCAAAACCTTCAGTTGGTTTCTGTAATAGTTGTGGGAAATCACAATAAAATAAAAAATAAATATCAAGGGAATGGACTTGCTGAGTTGTAGTTTCTCTTCTGCTAATATTTTGACAGCTATCATAAGTTAATGCAGTTATTCTTTAGGGAGAAATTTAGAGGTCCCAGAGAGTTGCATATTTTTTCCTCCTATCTCAAAAATGGCATATTGTTTTGTCAGAGCATACGCAAAAAAAATTTAAAAAAATTAGAAGCATAATCTGTGCGTAACATTTCCTGGAAGAACCAAGCACTACTCACAATGGGACACTATGTACTTTGAAGGATCAGGCATGACAAGCCCCATTCTAATCAAGTATCTTCTGAGCCAGAGAGCCAGGATATAAACTATCAAAAAGTCTCCTCGCTTCTCCTGAAGAAATAAGGGGAGAGCAGATCAGGAGTGACAACACACTCCAGTGAAAACTAACCATCGAATATGTCCACCATTCTGAAGAACGCCAAAGACAGGGATGACTTGCCACTGCCAGTACGACCACAGATCCCAACCTGCAAAAGAAAGCAAGATGTTACTTATAGAGTGAAGCTGTAAATCAGACTTGCAGTCCTTTTGGGAAAGCTGGACTGGATTGCCCTACTGGTGGGTAGAAAGGTCCTTCCCCATGGCCAGTGGCAGACACCAGGGAAAAAAACAAAACAGCACAGCAAGGACACTCCTCTTTTCTGCCTCTCAGCATCGTGAGGACTTGACCCAGGACCATTTTTGAAACTTCAGCATTTTGACCTGGACTCCAATGATGCTATATGCTGAAATGTGAGATATTCTTGCATTTTTACTCAGTTCCAGTCTGGTGTTCATCTAATCTCGTCTGGCCACCTAGGCTCATTCTATGCAAGGGAGATGGACTTGGAAAGAAGGGGGATTCTCAGAAAGAAAACTGATTCCAGCCAAGAATAAGATGTCATCAGTGTAAGTTTCTTGACCCATGCCCAGGGACCTCAGAGAGGACCATCAATGCATATAGCTGTCACTGCAAGTTGCTGTTATTCTTGCTCTTCTGCCACCTTAGAAAAGAAAACACAATAAGGAAGGATCTGCTCCAGAATGAGGATGATAGGGAATTGCTTGACATGGTACCTTTTGTCCTGGTTTGATATACGCCTTAACGTGCTTAAGAACAGGCTTCAGGTTGTTTTCATATCGAACGCACAAATTTTCAATCTTGATTTCCCCCTCCTGGGGCCAGTCTTTGGGGACTTGAGAAGGATCTGAAATAGTTACAGAAAACCAAACCAAAGTGAATGTTATTGAGGGTCACCCTTTATGACATTCCCCTTCCCCCCCTCTCTCCCTTCCTGAAGTCGCTTGAGAAATGGAGTCCCAGTTCCCTGCCAAGGGGGAGCTGGGAACTGCCTGCTGGGCATGTTAGTGCTTAGCTTCCACATCTTGACACATAAGAAGAGAGGGCAGATGCTAAAGTGGTTCTTGGCAATGAAACGGGGAGAAGCCAAACGAGCAGAGAAGAATGTAGTGTCAGCACAGTGTCAACATGTTCTTCGGTCAGTAACCGGCACAGGAAGGGCAGTGCAAGGAAGGATATTGTTACTGCCCTACAACATGAGCTGTTGACATTATCACAGCTCATATTTCATCCTGATTTGCAAATACGCAGGCAGGTTTTGTCTCCAGACTGAGGGGCTTGGCTTTCCAGGGAAGCTTGCTGACCTGCGAGCCTTTTTGGTCTTGCGCTTCAAGCACTTCTAAAATACCAGTCAAAGCCAATTTGAAATACGTGGAGTATGAACACCAATGTGCAGTTCAAGGAGAAGTTGCTGGGGTGCGACTGCCAACGCGACCCTGTCCTGTAGTCCCCATTTGCTGCAAAGATCAGAGATTTTGAAGCATGTGACTGATGGTGCATTTCTGATTTTTATCTGTATTTTTGTTTTCTAAATAGCTACATGGATGTTTTGTTCATCCCATTTATAACTGTGCCCTGGTACTTTCTGATTGTACTCCAGAGCCATGTTCTGTCTCCCTGGCACTTGGTAGGGGTTTGGTTTTTTTTTTATGTTGACTATCATAAGCTACATATCTCATAGCTGCTTTTGGCTATCCTTGTCACTCAGATGAGTGGGAGTTCCTACATGTCAATGAGAACAGGTTTTGGCCCAAGAGTCGTATACATTTTACATGACCAAGTCTACTGTGCTTTCACATTACCACATTAAAAACCAAAAAGATTAGCATGCAATACCCAAGTAGCCATCATAGTTCTCCGACTCCATGTTCAGGAAGCTGTGTACTTTTTTTACTGCACCCATCTGCACCTCCAGATCAGCCAGATTCCTCACCACCCAGTTCAAATAGTTGGTTATCTGCATCACAAAATGAAAGCAAGGACAGGGATCAGCCTTCTGTCTGTTTATCTACCTGTTTGCGAATAAATGTTGGATAAATTTGTAAAAGTCTTTGGCCTGACTCAGCACAGTGGGCCTCTTACTGATGTTATAACAGTTCAAGACAGTGCAACAGCATCAAATATGTAATAAGCCAGTTGTACTCCATCACAAACAACCCTGAAATAGTAATTTAGTGCTTGGTATTCTCATCCTTGTTTTTTGAAGAACTATGGAAAGATTGTACCTACAGCCTGAAGATGTGACTTATTAAGGGAATCTCTTGTTCTCAGCATCTAGTCATCAGTACTGATATCTTCTTTAAGCACACAAACACAGGAAAAAAATAAAAATTGGAAGCACTGTTTGGAAATATGACATTTTCTAATCTTTCAAAGACTGCAACTAAGGATTAAGAAAGCTCACTATTTACAAATATATTGAAAAGATCTGATGGGCATTTCATTTCTGTTTCTGTCTGTGCATATTTAGATAATTCATTTTTCTGTGGAATATATGAGTGTTTTTAGCATAGAAATATATCAGAAAAAATGTATTATCAGCTCAGTGGTACTTCCTTCTTGATTTTTTTCCCCATTTGTAATGAAAAGGATTTGATTAATAGTAAAGGTATTACTTGTAGTAGATAATAGTTGATAATTAGTTGTCTAACAATACCAAGAAGCTTAGTGAAACTGATCTCTAGTCAGGACTGACTATTTAAGGCTAAAAATTATAAAGCAATTTCCTAAACATTTCCTGAACATTCTTAAGTCTGTATTTAGGTGCTCATATAAGAAAGTTGATTGCCAAGCACCTTTAAAAGTTGGGATACTTTACATACCTGAATAAAGGTTTAGAAACTTAAAACAGTGAAAACATCCTGTACACAAATATATTCAGAGAAAGGTTTTGCCATTTATTTGTAGGAGATTGCTGAATCTGCCAAATAAGAACTTTATTATGAATAAATCATCCAGCCCCACTTCTTTTCCAATAACCTAATACAGATGCAATAGGCATGCACTAAATAAGATCTATCCTTAAGACAGAGTTACTCGAGGGGGTATTATTTTCTTTGTTGTTCAGAAACCCACTCAATCGGTGTCCAGCTTTTGAGTCAGAAAGTTATGGAAATAGGCATGTTTGCAGATAAGCTAAACACTCTGCAGAACTGCTGCTTGCAGAGTAGCCAGCTGCAATCATAGATCTGGCAGATTTGATAACAGAGCCTGGCATCCGAATGGCTCTACCCATTATTTCAACCTTCATCGCAGTTGTGCAAGGGAGTTGGCAGTGTTTATACAAGGGCAGAGAATAAGTTTATGGATGTCTACTGTAAACACAATGTTGGTACAAACAGATTGCTCTCATCCAGGTCCAAACATCAGCCCTCTCTTAGCTCCAAAGAGAAATGATACAAAACCTGTGTCAGGGGACACAGGTGATGATCCAACTGCATTCAAAATTTCATCAGTGTTATTGTGGGGCAGGAGAGAGACAGGTAATCACTTGGTGACTACAGCATTTTTTCCTCTGCTCTGCTAGACTTCAGCACATAGCTAATTTACACTAATGATCCATTTGCAAACACAGACTAAGTACAAAGAAGCCAAAGATGATGCAGACATCCTGGCGCTTCCAGATCTCTGCTAATGAAGCAGGATTACCAGGAATGTTTTCAGAGTGAAGTTGAAGCACTGGGACTGATTCTCAGTCGCTGGCAGGTTCTCACACTGCTGCAACAGCGGCACAAAGGGGATCTAAGGCTATCCTAAGGCAGCTGCTGAGAACTTTCTGTTGTAACCATGGGCTTGCCAGCACTTACGTGCAAAGCCAAATCTCAGTGTTAGACCCATACCCATATCCCTCCCTCATACCAGTGCCGTAAAGCAGCGAGATTTTTGCCACGCTAGCCATGATTTAAAAAAATTCTTCCTGCCACTATCCTCATTCTCCCTTTGTCCCCACTCTCGTGGTTGATTCAGTGATATTTCTACTGTGGTGATTGTACTCACTCTGTGCTCATGATGCACTCTCAGCCTCTCTTATAGCCTACTACATGAAACCACTGTTCCTTCTCCATGACTCAGCTCACATAGCTCAGTGAGAATGATGATGTGAAAATGAATCAGCTAGCGTGCTACCAAAATCTCCTCATTCCTAACCCCATCTCCTCTGCTTTCCTACTGCTGCCTGTCATGATGAACCATGCCCACCAGCCCCAAAGGTCCCAATCCCCAAATCCATTCAGAATTGCATGGACAATCAATATTGGCCATCTGAGTAGTTTCCCTCCAAAGGCAGAACTGGTATTTCTGATTCTTCTGCAATTATTTTATTTGGTCTTTTGTTAAAGATTACCCAGGTTATGACAATCTGTGGAATAGTATTTTCTGGCAGGTTTTGCCATATACAGGCGGAACCAACACTGTGTTGTGCAAAACAGAGTGCACAGCAGGTCCTCTTACGCATTCTTAATTTTCTTGCTCTGCTTGGGAGCACGCAGGGCCTGGGAATGGTTGTGTTTTTTTAATTGGCTCATAAAACCTGAAGCAAGTCCAAGTTGCCCTGAACTCTCTCAACTTTGGCTCGAATCCATTATTTGCAAGATTGGTTTTTTCAAGATTAAGCAAGCTGGAAGATAACCCTGTATATGTATTTTTAAAAGTATTATAAAATTAATCCATTGGTCTGAAAGTTCTTATGCTTTGCCTTGGTACATACCGTCAGAGCGTACAGGAGACCTAGCCCCACAAACCCTGAGTGAGGCCCTTCAGTGATGGAAGTGACAGCTGCAGTCAGAACTATACAAGCACCAAGGTAATCCTGGAATGAGAGAGAGGGGGAGAGAAAGTTTCTACACAACATTAAAATGCAGCAACAAGAAAATTTCTTTAGTTGCAGAGCAGGTTCACTTCAGTGAGGATTATTTCTTTAATGACACTTAGTCCTTAATTCTGGTTTGGTTTTCCTGGAAAAGGTCAGGGGTTGTGGTGCCCAACCTGAAACACTCTAGAGGAACTTGCTGAACACAAGTGAAACAGGCCAGTATTTTCTGCAAATCCATTTGGGCTAGGGTATCTTGTTGTGGCCACCCCAAAAAAAGCAGGTATCAAAAAATCTAATGAGCACATAAAAAAAAAAATCATAAGAATGACATAACAATGACCACTTAATTCCTGCCACTAAAACAAATCAATTCCACTCTCTCCACTGTCCTTCAGGTCTTCTCAAACATGGGTTTGCCTTCCCAAAAAAGAGGGACTGCACAAAGTCCATGAAGAATTTTGGCAGAATTTATACAGGTCATGCACATGTTTTATTGGCACAAGTGGGCAGCCTGACATACAGTGTCTACATCATGCAATGGGACACTGTGCATGGTGAAGGCATCCCTAAGCCTGCTATATCCTCACAGCCTGCAGTGAAACACCACGTGGGTGTTGGCAATGTGGACTCTGAAAGCAGTATAGCTGTGTAGTTGTGGTGCTGCAAATGGGCTACTAAGCCTTGCTCCTGCCACAGCACTTTGAGTTTCAGAGTGATTCTGTGGTAGATACCTGAAGGATCTCAGCTCTGTTGCATGGTGATGACTCGCTTTACAGAAATTGCTGTGTTAGAAAGATCTGACTTCTCACAAGCTTTGCAGGAGCTTGAACCCATCTTCTTGATGTGTACCTCAGTTTTGAAGTGAATGCCACATGTGATCTCATGTAGTTGTCAAGGTGCCTGATTCATGAGACTGCTGGTATTCCCACTCTCCCACTGCTCCCTGCATTATATTTACTTTGGATTACAGGGTTAGCATTTTCCATCCATTTTTTTCCTCCTGTCTGATAATATCCTGCCCGGAATCTTTCCTTCTGAGATTTGAAACGAGGGCTGCCTAGTTCATCTGTCAGTAAAAAGTGTTGATGAGCAGATGACAGACTCGAACTTAACATCTACAGGGAAGCAGAAGCACAATGGTCTCGAGTCTCCACCAGCAGTTGGGACAGGACTTCACGGTTGCTATTAAATCCTACAAACTTTTGAGTGACTTTAGTACCACTGTGCCATTAGGCAGAGCTAAATGAACTATTCCTTGGCAAGACCACATTATTTCTAATGCTATGATGAAGTGACGCATATTCTTGGATCAAATTCATTCCTCATGTAAGCAAGTCTAAGGCTGTGAGACATTAACAGGCATTGCCACAGCTTATTCCAGGATTGGCTGTTGCTCTGTTATTTATCTGTCTTTGATTTGGAAGCAAGTTCAGCTTGATCTTGGATGCTGTACGAAGCTGGAGGCTTCATGCACAAGGAAAAGCTTTGCCATCATAAGAAATGGAGCACAATTTTGTTGCTCCACCAGCGTGCCAGGAGGTGAAGGTGAGGATACAGCCTGTGATGTGAGGATAAATCATGCCTGTTACTATTTGTGTCTAGCAGAATCAGGTCACTGCTCTGTTTATTCATTGCTCTTTTAGTGTCAGATGAATAAGAAAATCAGGGTGACTTTGCTTGCCTCTTCTTGCCTTGCAGATCAGGAAAGTTCCTCGTGTGCTGTCCCTGAAGAGGCCTCATAAAAGCCAGGAGCCTGTCTCACTGGCAGCGGCTGTGTTGTGCCCTACTGTCATTTGTCTTGCAGTTGGAGTCTAGTTCTGCCATCTTTCGTGATACTGAGCGGTAAAATCACAAACAGTATGGCCTCACAGCTGTAGTAAAGGCACTGCAAAGGAGGGGTTTAAATTACAGCTGTGGGATTAAACCTGTTGCTGGAGAGATACCTCAGGACCTGGAAGCTCAGTGGTGCCTAAACCAGCCCTGGCAGAATGATGGCACAGTCCACAAAACTACTAAAATCCATGCTCTGCTTTGAAAGCAGTTCCTGCTGCAGCAGGTCTGCAGATGCTGCACAGTAGTAGAGAAAGCCTTACTTCAAGTTATGTAAATGTTTGTTCTTGCACTCTCTTCAGACGCTAGACATCACAACAGCAAAAGATGAGGGAGACTTGTATTTTCTTACCCCCGGCCAAGAAAGCTGAAAAAACCCTATGGGTTTAACATAAACAATCCCAATCTATTTTAAGGAACAGTGTGTATAATCTCATCGCGAGATTAATTCTCGTTATTATCTTCTCTGCATCAGGCAAAGTCTCTGTTTGCTTCCAAGGTTTCAAAACCATGGCTGGGATGAAACTGAACGTACCGTCCTGACCTCCAGCCATCTGTTGGCAGCCGATAGAAATAAGTAGGCAATGTTGTTCGTGTCCGTTAGTTCCAGCATACGTTGTTTAAATCTGGCTTCGTGCCTGCCAAGAGCAAAGTTGTTATATTACAACACATTATACACCCATACACAAAAGGATGACACATTAAACTCTTGTCTCCCTCCCCTCCCCCCAAACCAAAACTTTTTGCCCTTCTGCTTTCGCCAAACTTTGGGTTAAAAACTCTGCCCTAAGGACCCGTACCTGCTGCCAGGGCTCTCCTTAACCAGGCAGAGCTACATGTACGATGGGGAGGAATTTGTTCAACAAGCAATTATATCGGCCTAGATTTTGGATCAGAGCCTGTCCCCTCAAAGAGACTGCAATGCCAGGCTGCTAGGGACGGTTTTCCTTCCTGCTGCTGCCCTCCAGTCCTCTCACAGGCGAGTGCTGCTGTGGCCCCTCGTTTCTTCCTCACAAGCCACTAGCAAGAGCAGAAGGCTCACCTGTCAGCTCAAAATCTGATTTCGGAAGTTACCTGGCCAGCTGCAGGAGTCTTCAACAGGAGTGACACCTCTGAGGTTTCAACTAATAGACTGTAGATTGATCAGTAGCTCAATACTTTTCAGCTACTCAGCTCAGCTGTTTTCTCAGCCAGTCGCACATTGCCTAAGCAGCTTGGAAAACTACAGTGAGGGAGAGCTATAGATAATTTCTGAATTACCAAAATGAGCGGTGTTACCTCCACTGGCGCGTGTTTCTCTCTCCCCCGCGTAATGCCCGTCACATTTAAAAACCAGTGCAAGGATGACAGAGTGCCTAAGAGCCAAGGTACGCTTTGGGAGGGGAGGGGGAAAGCTCTGTTGGTGTAGTGTATTAAATTCATGGTGCCTTGCAGTACTTTAGGTATGACCTGCAGTCAGATGGAAACCATTTCATTGTTTCATATTCTACTGTCTGTTAAAATATCCTCACTTGAATAAACTAGCTGAACTTCATTCAGCAGCTTATCGTCTGTTTTATGACAGCAAGCTCTTCCATTTTATAGTCTCAGGGCCCTGCTGTGAAGCACCTGTAACCCCTGTTCTGCCAGAAACTTCTTTTTTTTTTTTTTTTGCCTTTTCTCACTGATACTTTATTTCCTTCTACACAGCTTGTAAACATGGCAAGCAACCTCTGCAAAACAGCAACTGGCAACAGTAATGACGTGGGGAGGAGCAAAGATGCACTGACTATTCTGCTCATCTGCCTTTCTGGCAGCAAAACTCCTGTTTTCCTAATGGAAAATCTGACATGCTCAATCTGTATCTTTTCATCCATGTCCAGCTCATCTTCTGGGCAGTTTTAGACTTTTATCCTGTCAGATGACAAACAGCAAAGGTCACTGAAATTGCTTTCTGATCCAACTGTACTACTTTGTGGTAAGTTATGTGAGGAGCTGCTCTATTTTATCCTGGAACATACTGAACTCAAACTGCAGAGAATGACTAACAGGACTATTAGTAAATATGAGCTTGCCGGCAAAAAACACTGGAGACTTCAGGTTTGGTTGACAGTGGAGCATAGACAGGGAAATGAAATGGCTTTGATTAGCACCAGAGATCCTGGAAAGCTCAAGTGATGGTTATGATGCCTGGTCCTTCTGTGAGGCTGCCTTCTGCTCTCTGTTGTCCAAGCCCACATTGCCTTTTTGTAAGGTAAAGAAGAGTTGAACAACTCCCAAGAAGTGCTAAGCTCCTTTGTCTTTCTGAGGAGATAGATAGCGTGATGAAAGGCCACTCTGAACCTCTCAAGAAGCACTCAGCATCAGGACTTAATTATAACTTATTGTTTCAATACATCATTCTGGTTGACAAAACTTGTTAAAACATTTGTTGACCGCTGGCTCACATCTCTTCAACACAGCAACCTTTTTGCTTGTCCTGCCACAGTCCTTACTGCAGCACTCTGTACTAATAGCCTGGGTCCTAAAGCTACCTTGAAGCGATGCAACAGTCTTAAGCTGTTAAAATAGGTGTGCAGATAGCACTGCAGTGAGATCTGCACTGGTTTGAAATTCTACATTGTACAGAATGAATGCAAGTTACGCTTGCTGGGGGGCACCATCAAGCTGGCACTTTTGACAGAGTCATGCTAGCTATAATGTAGTGAATATATGGAGGAGAAGTTGGGCTACATTTCATGTAGCAAGTAGAGAAAAAATATATGCATGGGAAGTTGGAAAGATTCTCTGAATCTTCTGGAATTTATTTTTCAGTTTTGATTGACAAGGCTAGGTTTTACAATATTAAGTTCTGTTCTGCTGTAGTTTTCTTGGAAAGTCTCTCAAGCTGCATGTTGACTTTTGGTTGGAGAGTGCTATAATGATGTTTCCCTGCCTGAGAAGTGGGTTAAATACAGAAATGATTCCAGGGCACTTGGATAGCGCAGTTTGTAGGATATAGGAGGGGGGTCTGAAGGAGTGGTGCCTGTGCCTGCCTGGCAAAGGAGAGCTCCCTGTCGTCCAAGTAAGGTTAAACTAAACGTCTTAAAAGTTTAAATATCGTATCCTAAAAAAGTATCATCTTTAATTCAGCGGAAAACCAGCACAGATAAATTAGTGTGTTACTGAAAATATGCACAAGTGTTTAGAGGCATGGCAAAGCAACAGGAAAAGAAAATTTCTTCCCTTTTTTGAGATGGCTTAATTAAAGTCCACCATATCCAACAATTTACCCTCAGACATTCTCCAAGCAAGCTGCATGGGCCAGACCAAAACCCAAGCCTCCCTTTAATCATTTGTTTTACTGACCTGAACGCTCTAATGGTGGTAAGGCCTTCAGCTGTCTCAGAGAAGTGACAGAGTAAAGGTAGCTGGGTGCTGTCATCAAGTTCCTGGAGGTCCCTGGGAGTACAAAAAACAGCAGACAGCCATTACAATGTAAACATCTCTGTAGAAATTTCACTGCGTAACAGACAAGAATAGACATTTTATGTGTTGCACATATTCTTTTCAGGATGACACAAAATAGTGGGTTTTATAGTACGGAAAGACACTGACATGGGAATATCATATTTCTCTTTTGCCATAGGAGCCTTTGAATCATCTCCCAGCCACCTCCACAATCTAGCTTTTGGTCACAGCTAAGCTTCTCTTTGTCCCACAGAGAACATCATCTCTCCCAGATAAAAACCTGCTGTCCATTTTAGCCAGATGCTAATTACCTTTTATCCTCAAATGTTCTAATTTATTAATATAATTAATATAATTAACTTGAATTCAGAACAGTTGATTTTCAAATTTATAGCATGTTATTTGTGCCTTATACATCAGGTATAAAATAGAGTTAGAGTATCTGCAAGTTTATCTGTTTTATTGCAACTCTATCAGCTGGCCTAACAAAAAGGGTGCCTTTCCATATAAACCTTGCCTTGTTTTGAGTATCTTTAAGTACTGCAACATGCTGAACGTAAAATATAGCAGACCTTCTATTTGTGGTGTTAACATTATCACACTGGTTGAAATAGAGACAGCACTGACAGAGAAATAATATGAATGAGAAATTTCCTCAATTATTCAGCAATGGTATTTTCAACACCTGCATGGAGGGATGATATTTAAGTTTAAAAATTCCAGTCTCCTGAAACAGGAACATTTTCCAAACCACAGACACAAATACAACTTTCTGTAACACTCTGCCATTGGCACAGCAGCCAGTTGTATAAACAGAAGAGAGGCCAGATCATTAGATATTTAAAATCTTTATTAAAATCCTACTATGTTTGCACACTGTATTAGATAGATAGGGAGAAATAAGTGCTCCATGATGCTGAATGTTACAGTATACAGGACTGGATTTGCTGCTTATGTTTTGATGATAAATATGCTCTCTTTCAAATTTATGATGGAAAATACACAGGAGTTTTTGAGACATGTAATGGAAAATACAACAGAGAGTCAAAGTGCTGCAAGGAATACTGGAAATATTTGCATTTCTAAAAATTAGTGAAGCCTGGAAAGTATTGCATGCAAGTAAGTTATAATACTGGCTGAAACTATTCCTTCATCCTACATATCCCAAGACTATTTTTTCTAGAAATAAATTAGATTTATTAATTTCTGTTGTGGATTGAAGGAATACAAGTCAGCCCCTGAATGCCTCACAATTAAAAGAGTTTAATTTAAAGTTATGGACTTGCAGAGCCAACGGGTGCAAGTGTGTGTGCACTGACTTACAGGGGTGATCAACCTCTCGCTAGCTTGCATGGTATGGCTATGGGTACAGCATGTGGGAAAACCAGATTTGGAGATGGATGGAGACTTTACTTTCATATATAAAATACAGAGAGAAACTGTAGTATTTCCCTGGGGGGGTCTAATACATCAGCTTTGCCTACTCTTGTGTATTTTAACTAAGAAGTTTACACAATGTGCACTGTTATGTGTAGCAAGACAGGGTGACACTCAGAAGACCACAATGAACTTAAGAATGACAACCAGGTCTCCTGATGCCTCATCCACCTTGAGACCTGGTGTGCTGCCACGTACAGCTTTAGTTTGGAAACCTGGTGGGGAAAGAACAAGGTTTCTGAAAAATCTCAGGGAATTTAAGCAAGTTATTTCAGAATTAAACATTTTTGGTTTGTGCATTCTGATTATAGAGTTTTCTTATGAATAAATCTCCTTGGAAATTCTGAGGAAAGCTGATGAGAAGTAGGGTAAAGTGAAGCTAAATTATTGATATGTTGCTCCTCCTGCTCCATTGATTTAAGGGGAATAACTAACACAATTCTTTCTCAGGCCACCTAAATAAGAGTATAATTTGTGAGGCCAACTGTATTGGTACGCTCAGTTGAAAAACACTGTGTCTCTTAACCAGATGCTACAAAACAGCAGCTAATGCTTTACCATGTGCCTACTGCAAAGACAGGGCCAGAAGTCAGTTGCTAATGATGGTAGGTTGTTTTGGCCTCCTTGCAGGTCGGCAGGCACCTTAATGGGTATTTTTAAGTATCAGAAAGTGGAGTAAATCCAGCCAGAAATCTGGCTGATTAAAAAAAGAAGCATGACTGATTGAATTTAAGAAAAAAAAGTCAAATGGCTTGCTTAAGATGTTTTACTAAATTATATAATGAGTTCAGCACTAGAAGCGTGACTCTAAGAAATCATGACACTCTTGCTGAAAGAATGTACTCTTTATAACCAGCCAAATCATTCTGAATATGAAATGTTGCAGTAGAGTGGAAATGTGAATTTCCCAATGTGAAAGAAATTGCTATGAAGAAATATGAAGAAAAAGCTATGACTGACGTTAATCCAGGAAGTTATTTTCCATTCTCTACTAACCCTCAAAAGGTCAAAGAGGAGCTTTGACCAGATCCGAGCCGGCTCAGTTGATTAACAAACTTCATGCTCATCTGACTCTATAGCCAACAGTGTACAAAAGTGCTGCAACTAGTGTTACTTCCCCAAATACCACATCTGTAGTCAGTCAGCTGGAAACATCCTCCAATGTATGTCTCAAACTCACACCTCAGGATCAAAAGCAGGACGCCATGGCCATTTCCTCCTTATACTAGCTCCTATAACCTCACATTCCATCACAATTCTTACGTACAATTTTTTTAGAAGACATTTTCAGGACAGTTTTTTAATACGTACTTGGAAGCAACTCTGAAGTATTTCTGGATGAAATAAAATGCTATCCCAAGAGGCACGAGGGCAACAAGGAACCATGGAGTGGCATAGGAGATCATTCCAATGGCTGACAGGCAGAGTAAGGTGGACCGAGTAAGAGACTCCAGCGTAGGAGGAATGTGCTAGGGCAAAACAAAAAATATACATAAGGCAAAAATCACTGGTAGTACCACTATATGCCTTTTCCTATAGAGGACCATAGGGAAAGTGGAATGATACCACTGTACACTCATTGATATTCTCCCTGTATCAGGAGCCTTTATGCTTCTGCAGGTCTACTACTCAAATGTGCAGAGGTTAAAAAATGAGTCAGTAGATTTTTTCGAAAGGTCAGTGTTTCAAAGATCATGGGGAAATAGGAGCCATTTCCACCTCATTTATATAACAGGCAAGAAAGAAAATTGTTCTTGATATCCCAAATATTTAGAGGAACAGCATGCTCTTTCTCAGAGCCTCTTAATTTTCCTTCCATCTTCCCATCACCCTTACATTCAGGATTATTGCTCATCTAAACATTTTAATTCACAGCCACAGTGAAAGCATCCCTTCCTCTCCCTGAATGCTCTAAATTCACATGTGCTGCAACCAGCACGGAACATCTATTTGTCATGTGCTCTCCCATATAGTTAAAGTTATTATATTCTAGCCTATTTCCTGTTTTGAGCTCCAAATCTGGTGTTTTGCTAGTCCAGATCTTCCAACAGAAGCAATCAGTCTGCATATGAAGAAATGAAGAGCCACCATCTCCCACCATGTTTATTCTAATTGTTACCTGCCCTCATTACTACAAATGTGTGTAACTTCTATTTTGAGTTTGTCTATCATCATTCCCAGAGCCTGTTTTTGCTATGCCTTTCCCTACTGAATATTTTAATACATCAACTTATCCAGTAGCTAAGTGAAAATTAAAGCCAAGACGTAATAAAACAGAATATATTGATATGTCTACCTGATCAATGATATTTGTATCAGCAGAGAAGCGATTTAGAATTAGCCCCAATGGAGTCATATCGAAGAACCTGTTGAACAAATTAAAACCAAAAAGTTACCTGAAAAGGAATTCCAGTTTTGGGTAGAAAGCCCAGTCAGACAGAACATAGAGCTGTGTCCAGCCATTTTCTAAAACCAAGCAGTAACTTTGAATAACCTAACAGATCATAATGCCTGCATCCTGACTATCTAAATGCACCTCTTGGCACTTCCTCCTGGAAAAACTTTTAAGTCTCCTCTTCCAAAAACTTACCGTCTTGCCTGCTGCTCTTTCATCCATGCTCCCTAAAGATTTAAGATCCCTTGCAAAGATCACAGCCTGTCCCTGGCTGCTGCTCAACCTCCTGCGTGGTACTGGGCACCAGGACTCAGTTGTTTCATGAAAGCACTGTGATAACTGTATTTGTTAGGCAGGCACCCTTTTGGCCAACGTGCTGCATGTGAGAGACTGTGGTTATCGTGCACAGAACCTGTCCCCAGCCATTGGAAGAAGCCTGGTGTCCACGTTGTGTGACAGCATGCCCATTGCTCAGAGTTGGAGCTGAGTGCCCTGGAGCTAGAACTGCACTCAAAGCCGTCACTGACATGCCAGCCTGGAAGGGGGTGCTAGCTATCTGACACATTTCAGCCAGATAAAAAAGGGGTCAGAATTTCACATGTTCTGACATGGAACTTTTTCCCCTGATTACGTCTCCTATTTTCACTTTTTGAGGCCTTGAGGGCAAATATAAGAGCTTTTCACAGGAGTACCCTCCCAGTTACAAAGAGGACAGGTTTTGACCATGTAGTTGTTCAGGAGGAATGTTATTTTTGCTGTACCTGATTGGTCCAAGGATGATTTTGTTGAGGAGATTATGGTGTAGGTTCTTGGCTGCTGTGAGGCCCATCCACTCCACAGTCAGAGATGTGATGAGGCAAAGGACAATCCCTGCTCCAGAGAGGGTGCTGAAGACAGCTACATGATAAGTCTAATAAAATGACAAATACGTCAGTCCTAGAAATAAACACCCATTTCTCTTTTCTGCTGGAAAGTTCCCAATGTACCTGGTACCAATCTGCTAGCATGTCATATCCCATATATTATTACATGATTATATTAACATAATCTTTGGGAAATAGAAGAACTATGGAGGAACTGCAGTTCATTAATTTCACATTAGAACACATCATTTGTTTCAGAAGATCTGGCAGTTCTAAGATCCCTCAACCTACTGATAAGTACCCTTCGAGACCTTGAGGTGATAGTACTTAGAACTGTGAAGATAGACTAACTGGACACAATGCAAAAGTATGCAAATTGTTAGCCAAGAAACTCAGACAACCAAAGTAGAACTTCTCAAGAATTAAGGCATTTGAGAGATGTTGGAAAGTTCCACCTTATTAAGTTCAAGCACCACTAAAATTCCCAGAGCAAATCCTAATCTGCCAGGACTATAACACATTGAAGTCTTCTGAAAGTTTACTAAGTAGATTCCAGTGAGATATTTGTATATGAGTCAAATTTACAGCTTTAAGCAGATTGTATTTAAGTAGTACATTTGAAGACTTTTTTTTTTTTTTCTGGCAGGACATTACTGGACAGCCAGTACTTCGGAAAATGGGGTCATTGACTTAGGTGTTAAAAAATCCAGATGGAAAAGTTTACTACGACATTCCTTCCTTTGAAAGGTCAATCATTTTTCTAACCTTAAACATGCCTCTGTTTCAGTTTTGCAAGTTTGAAAAGATTGATAAAATTTCAATTGTCTTATGTTTCAGCATGAACAATTCATCCATCCTATATAATAATCAATCTTACTATATCTATGTGTGTTTCCAATCTAGCTGGCTTCTAGACGAACAGCAAATAATTACTTTAGAACATTTTTTTCTTTTCTTTTTTCCCTGTCAAGCTCCAAGATATGGCCCACCTTATTTGTGCTCTTATCACCAAAGTTCCTGACTTCATTTGCATTGTCCATGGATGTCCATGTAGCAAGCCAATAATCTATGGCCACTATAACTGAGTGCTTCAACAACTTTGAGAAAATCATCAGAAAGAGCAAGAAAAATCCTCCAGAGGTTAGATATCTCCAGCAGGTTTTCCACGGCATCTTTGTCCTGAGCCTCAAGACAGTTGACATATTATCATCTTCATCCTCTTCCTCTTCTTCCTCTGTGACTCAGACATTTGATCAAGTTAGCTTGGATTCAGTACTAAGAATTATACCTGGCTTTATTGGATTTGGCTGACTTCTATTTTGTTTTGAATTTTAATTTTAACGGCAAAATTCAATTTGTCATTTAAGAACAGCAAAAACTTCAGATATATTTTCATAAGACTTCCCCTGTGCTCTTTGAGCAACTCTATAGACCGTCAGTCTTTGACTTGTTACGGTTTTGTTAATGCAATATTTTTGTAAATTAGGTCTTCAGTACTGACTATTTGTAGTAGAGACTAGGCCTTTCCCAACCTGTTCAGCTGCTTTTATTATACAGTCAGCAGAGCACTTTGGGTCACATGGAAGATTCTAGAAAGCACTCCAAAGCTTTCCATCCAGGTGCTCTGTCATCTGTTGCATGAAAGGGTTCAGTTTTCCCTTCATTCAAGAGTACTAAAGTTTTGCTCTGATAAAATCATAATTGTTCAAATTATACTGAAATAAAATTGGTAGAAGACTTCTGCTATGGAAATATATATTTCATAGGTGCATAAACATGACATCTAAAAATTATTTTTTTTCCAGATAATAAGAATATAAATATCATAGCCTTGCAGGCACACTTGGGGAAGAGAAATGTTAACCTGCTCTTGACAGCCTGTACTAACTACATTTCCACTCATTTCTGACTTTGAACATTAAAAATGAATTAGTAAGTGATTTCTTGAAAGTTGAAATTCTACACTTCTTAACACACAGAGACTTTGTGTACATTCCCTAGGTCACATAGTAAGTGTGGATGACCTAGAATGCAATGTCAGATTATATTTCTGTCCTGAAGTTATTGATATGTGTTTTTTGATCTGAATGATGTCTGCTTTTTGCAGGCATTCTGTGGACTATATGGACATGTCTTTTTCCCCCATGTTTTCTATTTTACCCCACAAAAAAGATACAGGTTTTTGGCAAGGCTTTCTTGCACAGACCAAAAGGAGGAGCTTGGGAATGACGTCTATTTAAACTCCTTCAAGAATTTAACTGATAAAGTATACTGATGACTGCACATATTAAGAGGTATTCTGCTCGGCTCTGCCAAAGAAGTACGAAGCCAACATAATATTTCTGTCTCAAGGGCTTTGGGGTCCAGCTCTGCCCATCGTACAGTGATTGGGAACTTCTTCAAAATGGAGCAATCCAGGACTTACAGACATGTGACTAGAGATGACAATCTGTCATGAGCATTGCCAGATGAAACATAAGGCAGCAATAAAGAGCCTTTTAATAGCTAGTGTGCATTCTGTGATCACTCCAGCCAGTATCGCCATGATAATCCCTGCAATTAGTGCTCCTGTTGAGTTAAGGTGAAGCCTGCAGTTCACCTCTTCTCTTCCCTGGCACAAACTTACTGCTTGCCAGGGCTGACTACTCCCTGTAGGCCTGGTCTAGCATCCCAAGGATGTTCTTCACGGGTCTCGTTGCCAGCTGCCAATCTCCAACCATTCTGCCCCCCGCCCCCCTTTAAAAGTGATGTGAATCTGAATCTGCACCTCTAAAAGCATCAAGACCTGGGGGGAGCAAGAAGCTAAGCTTGAGAACAAAGCCTAAAGCTTCTCCCATAAATGGTCCAAGCTAGAAAAATAGCAGGTTAACTCCATATCCAAAAAGGAATTGAAAATAACTACAAGTTTGATCCCACGGTGATACTTCAAAAGCCCAGAACAGACCATTCACAGATATGTCGTGAGGGATAGGGCGACAGCTGATCTAACATTATTGTGGCAATGACTAGGCAGAGCTACCTCAATTTGCTCTAATTACAATTCTTACTGTTGTTTTACTTCTATCTCACCCCTCAACACCTCCAGACAGGATGAGTTAGCAAAGAAATTAACTTGTTTTGGTACACCCTTATCCCTGCACAACGTTTAGAGAAATCTATGGAGAATCCCTTAAACAAGTCATATTGTAAACAGGTCAAAGTATTGGACTTTCTACTGTTATTACCAAGTGTCATCAACATCTTCATACTTTGTTGCTAAGAACTGCCAGCTATTCAAGTGGAAAGGCAATGAAACATGGTAATAGAGTAAATAAAGTGAAATGATAAAACATACCTTCATCTTCATCTTCCAGTTGTGATTTGGATTCTCTGGGGTACATGGCCCTTCTAAGGGTTTTTCTCTCAAGAGTAGTCTGGTCAGCTTCCATATCCTGTAATAAGGAAACTTGTTTACTAATTTGAGAGCTTAGCTGTCTGCCACTGTGGTAGCCCCAACAGTAACCTCAAAGAGACTTTATTTGGATCATTTAGCTCACAGAATGCAAAAGCACAGTATTTTAGCATTTATCTTTCAGAAAATCCTGCTTCGTCCACTTCCTTCCCTCTCTCTTTCTTCCATTCTTTCATTCCCTCTCTTCTGGAATGATAAAAACTTCAAAAATAGTCTTTAGAGAATCCTAAATACTCATGGCAATAACAGAATAAAAGGCTAAGAGGTGCTTTAGGAAGTCTCTTAGTCCATCCCTTGCCCTAGCAAAGGATCAGTTGTACACCGCATTTCAAAAGGATGTTTGCCTCGTGTCTTTACAAACCACCCATGACGGATATACCACACGCTTCCTGGACAATCTACTCCAGTCCTTAAAGTTCCTTACATTTCATGTGTTTTTTCCCTAATGCCTAGTTTAAAATTTGCTTTCTGACATGGTTTGGGTTTTTTAGAAATTAACTGAAAAATATTTCTTTTCCGAAAGGTCATCCTTGCCCACAATGCTCCTATTTACCTTTTCCAATTCTTGATCTTGGCGATTCATCAAAGTTTTCCAGTGTTCATATAGCTCAGTATCTTTGGTTTGGATATCCTTTAGTGTCCCTTCTCTAAGCACCATTCCATCCTTCATTGCTATGATCTAGGGGAGAAAGCATCCAATAGGCCTGACTATAGATACAGATACCATAATCACTGACCTGCATCCTACAAAATTTGTCTCAGTATTGGTGAGATTACCATCAAGAAAATTTCTGTGTTCATTTTATTCAATATTTTGTTAATGAATTCTTAAGTTGGCAGTTAGCCACATGACATATGGAATTAAGAAGGAGGGACTCTATTACAGAGAAAAGCAGTGACGTCCTTAAGCATTATGGTGCTGACTTCAAGTGTACGTTCATCATTAGAAAATCTGCATCATGCTATCTCTTCTCTTACCCAGTCGGCATGTGGTAGGTATTGTAATTTATGTGTCACCAGAACAAGAGTCCTCTTGTCTTCTTGCAGAAACTTCAAAATCCCTTCCTGCATTAAATGATCACTTAAGTGAATGTCCAGCGCAGAGAATGGGTCATCCTGCAATCAAATCAAATTAAAAAATATTAGTACAGGATACAAAAATTAGTTTTATTTCTCTCAAGAGTTTTTTAAAAATAGAAAGCATCTGCCATGACTAACGTTTCCACCCTCTCTAAGACATAGTCAGAGGGGTGCACTACAAAACAGTGAGCTAGAATCCATTGCTCTTCAGTTCATAGTAATGGACTCAGTTAATTTTTTGTGTCTAGATCTGTACAGTGCTGGTGCCACAGTGACAGTGTGGAGTAATTCTGATCAGGAACATGAGAACTGAAATTTCCCATCCAAATTTGAAAATGCCAGGATTCAGAGCCAAGCTTGGGCCTAATTTTGATGGGAAACTGGCACAAGAAAGTTAGAGTTAGGAACTCTTCTAATTTCCTCCAAACTAAACTGCAGATGTGCTTGGTCTTCACTTTGAGTGAGTGTGACTAGCAACAAGACAACATTCAGGTAAGAATTTTAATAAGAAAACACTTTTTCTCTAAGAACAGAAGTCCCTGTTTAATTTTGAAGAGGCTCAAACAGCCCCTTCATGAGCAGTAGCCTCCTGAAATTCCTGACATGCCTTGAAATTAGTAACAGAGAAGGGAAAGTTTGTCCAAATCCACAGCACTCTGCAGGAGAGTGCTGAACCCTCAGTCTGTTCATTGCTCACAAGTAATTGCATTATGGTGCTTTTCCTTATCAGAAGTCCTGCTGATTTCAGTGGAACTATGTTGACAGTAGGTCATCACTGAGAGAAAGCAGAATTTAGACAACCTGTTATATTCTTCCAGTGTTAATCTTGGTAAGACATCCCACCTTCATCAGTCTCTCAGTACGTTTTGATGCTGCCTCTTGTGGATGTTTATTTCCTAGCTCTATAATTTGGATTTGGAGTTGAATACAAGTCCTATAATTATCTAAATCTAACATAAATTTTTCTAAAGCTAAATGGAAAGAATGACAGTTTTATTATTAACTTTCCAGAGTGCATGTGAAAAAGAAAAATCTTACCAAGAAGACAATGTTGGTGTTCTGATAGAGTGCTCGAGCTACACAGATTCTCTGTCGTTGGCCGCCACTTAAATTAATCCCCTAATGAGTATAATGGATCAGAAATATGCATCTTTGAATAAACATTATGATAGGACTTTGGAAATGTGATTTTTTACATTTATACAGAGTTCAAATAAAAATAAAAAGCTTCATTAAAATGCTAATCTTATTGATAAACAAGCATAATCCTCATACAATATAAGAAGAAAAATTATTATTCAGCAACTAATCATGGGTAAGTGTAAATTATGAAGAGCTTCTCTAAGCACAGTAGTCTTCTTAGATTGAAAAATGCAAGCAATACTAGCATAAAATTCTGCAAGCAAAATATCGAAGACTGATCAAAAAAATCCCATTTGAGAAACAGCTGAAGAAGGAAAAAAGTTTTCAACTTTTTTTGCAGTATTCCTGGTGAATTACAATTATTTACCAGACTGGCAGCCCAATACAGACTAGATCTGTCTGAGTGATGTCAGAGAGCACCTTCTTAATACATAGGCTAAGCAGACAGAAAAGCATTCATATTATTTACCCTTTCTCCAATTTCCGTCTGATCACCAAATGGTAGTAAGTCAATGTCAGGCTGCAGCGAGCACGCATCTGTAACAGCTTTATACCTGTACAAACAATATGGTCATTGCAATTATTTAACCAGCTACTTACTTTGCTAACACAAAAACCTCCAGCTCGAATTCACTGCTAAGTTATCAGGGCTCTGTGATAGTTGGATAATTGCAAAAAAAAGTAAGGCAAAATGATTATTCAGCAACTAATCATGGAGCATTGTAAATGAAGCATTGTAAAAAATGACATATTTATTAGAAATCTTTACTGGCAAGCCTACTTTTTAAAGATTCAATTACGTAAATTATTGAGTACCTTCCTCCCTATCAAGGAGCTGTTTTGCTGGACTCTGGAGTATTTGAAGCCATTTTCCAATGAGTTATTATTCTTCCCCCTTTAAGTGCCTCTTCATTTACTTCAGTGTGACATTACAGGACAAAGGATCCTTACAGTACTTCTGATTTTGCCAGAACCAGGAAACTACTTGCAAAAACTTGAAATTTCCTGTGAGATTTCTAGGTCTGTGGGGTATTGCAGATAATCTGCTAATAAGCAGCTGGGATCAGACTACTTGAGTGGTGTAATGCAGCCTTGCTCCTTTGGTATGAATGAAGTTGGGCTGATGGGTGCAGTAGCTGAAGAATCTGGTCCCTGAAATTTTAGGTGCTTGTCTGGATTTTGAGATATTTGGTCATTGCTAAGTTTTATTAAGTGGGAATGGAATCATACATCTTAACAAAGCACACACTAAGTGGAATGGGATATATTTTTAATAACTTAAAACAAAGAGAGTGTTGCCTTTGAAAACATCAGTAATTTGTTTTCCTTAAGTCAAGTCACTTTTTCCACTGCATTTGTTAGCTGACCTTTTAGAAGAACACAAGAAGCAAGTGCTACATAGGCATAACAGAAGCTGTGCACCTCAGCTTTCACACTGCCTTCTCCTGTATTTCTAAAGGAAGAATTAAGGTTATTTCCTTGAGGCACCCCATCTTCGTACATGCAGTGTTTTTGTGAAGTGGCTGCTCCAGTAACCTGATCACGGCAGGATTAGCACTTAAACTCAGTGGACACATGCCTAGAATCCCTATTTCCAGAGTCCTCTGACAACCTCAGGCTCCACTAAACAAAACAAAAATATGTCAATAGTCTCCAAAGATGAGATTCATCTCACCTAACTTTAGCTGCTTGAAAAATACACAAGTGGCTTCCACTGTGTTCCATGGAGAGCCACTGCCACTGTGTGATTTCTTACAAACATCTTAGACATGCACTCTGGTTAGAGGGGGAGCCTTGAAAGACTAATTTAAAACAGAAACCTTCCTTTGAGATGGCTAAAGACAGGTTAGCTAAATCCACCCCAGGGTTAATGTGCATTGATATTTTTCAGAATCTACAAACTTCTTCCAGAAGGAGAAGCTGCCAGATGTTTTTGCAAGGGGTTTGATATTTACCTCTGTTTATTAAATGGGCTCCCAAAGATAATGTTCTCCTCCACGGTTGCATTCAGCAGCCACGGCTTCTGAGCTGCATAAGCCACTGAGTATCTGTTTCTACTGTAGACAGATAAAGAGCATTAGTAAAAAGCAAAGCATCCACATTATGAAATGTCTGAGAATCAGGGGTTTTTAAATTAAATTTATGAATGTGCATTCATAAAAATACAGGGAAACACATAGGCAAAGCAACTGTTACAAAAGTCAATGGAAGAATTTTTAATTAGATGCTTTTGTTAGAACAGCACCCACTCTCTCCCCTGATTGCAAAATCTATACTCTAGGTTGTACTCTATGTTACTGTAAATGGCTGGTACCTACCTTAATCTAGTAACTGCAATTGCAACCCAAAGGCAATTTATAAATAATCAAAATTACTAAATTCTCACAAGAATAGTTACTTTATGTCAAAACAGGTAGTGAAAAGGCGCTGTTCAAATGGCATCACTACACTTGACTTGCTTCCTTCTGAAGTTTTAGATTATTTTACATGGCCATACACATGAAATACTTTTTTCTCAGTGAATGCTTTTTTCCTTTAAGTCTATTAGATCCTCAGTGGACTGACATGATATTGGAAAAGAGGGTGGTTTAATACAGATTGGGAAGGAATCGCTACAGTCCCCCAAGTATTTACTAGACATACTTTAAACATGTCTAAATACCTAATGACGTGTACAATAGGGGTATGAATGTTCTTTAGTTCTGGTTGTTTTGCCTATGTAGAGTGGCAAAAAAGGTCATGTAATCTCAGACATTTTTCTGAGATCCCTGAGATGTGTGAGGAAGGAGGGGTGAACTGGTACCAGCTTGTGGATCTGAACACTTATCTTCCTTCTCAGTCTCTTTGATGGTATTGCTTCAAACCAAACATTTGATATAGCTTTGTATTTAAGCATCTAGGATTTGCTATTGAGAGAGAGGGTGCTAGGGTATGAGAAGTAGCTGGTTAGTAGTATCCCCAAAATTTTAGGAGTTTTAGCAGTTCAGTATGCACTAGGATGAAATATGTCCTCAGGATTATCAGGTAGCAAATCATGGTGTGGCTCCCAACCACAGCTATGTGTGCCACTACTTCTCTGTCATTTATGATGTGTTTTTAGTTTAGCTTGTCCTTCTTTTAAACCTGCAGGTCCTTTCCCTGAAGCCAGCAGTGGAGTCACTGCTTGACTTCAGCTGGAGCACTGCCAGCTCCCTTCGAGCGCTGTGTCCCCTGCTCTATCACACAGCCATCAAGCAACACGAAACCCAGTGCTGATCAGAAAACATGCAAACACATGGGAGGGTACACGTAACGATGTTTTACATCTAGAGGCCCCGTCTTGCAAGATATTGGAATGCTAAACTCCCAGTGATGTCAAATGGGAGCTGGGAGCACTGAACATCTTTTGGACAAGACTGAGGTAGTGGTACAATGGCTGAAGAAGATTGGGATCCACTGGATTTAACACAACCTGTCAGTTAATCCTACGGTAAATGATTATCGACATGGTAAGAAAACACAGAGATGGCTGAAGGGTACAAAGATGAAGGTTTGAGTAAATTCTGAAGAAATTAATGAGTGTATTATGATACACTAAAAACAGAAATAATACCTTCTGGATGCTTCAAAAGAAGGTTCAGTTTCATTTACACTGTAAGTTATGGTAAATGATATTTAGTAAGCAGGAAATATAGAGAATAACATTTTGTGCTAGTTTTACATACAGGGAAACTGAGGTTAAGTATATATTTTAAGAACTCTACATCAGTTTAGGTTTTTTTTCTTAAAGGGAAAATAAACAAGGTCTAAGTAAAAGCATGTAACTTTTCTAAATACAACAGTTTCATATCTATAGTGCAAAGTGGCTAGACAGGCAAGTTATGTTGTTAGAAAATGTATTAAAAGTGACAATTGTATTGTAAAACCTATTAAAAATGAAATTATTAATATTGCCTAGGCATATAAAAGGTTGACAAGCAATGAGTTAGCTTCTCCACACAGTTCTGCCAATGACCTACAAAAGTTGGTAACTAATGTCAAATTTCCCTTGGATCCAAGATAAGCATTATAGATACACTTTTGAATCAGAACAGATTTTGAACCTGTTTATAGCAGTAAGGCTGCATCAAGCCATGCACGGCACCACAACACCTAGGCTTTCCTTGTCAACCTCCACTTCTTCATGATCATATCCATGAAATACATTTTGAAGAGAATACAATGGCAGTAATGACACGAATGATTTTGCAGCTCTCTCTGTTTGTTAATTGACTTATTAACTGTGTCGAGGGCATGGGATGCCAGTCAAAGCAGTTCTGGACCAGTGATGGTGCTCCTGTCCAGGCATAGCGACACATCACTGCAAAGTAGAAAACCTAAAAGAGTAAGTTTATGCCAGGTAAATAGAAACAGGCATTAGAAGGGACTAGAAAACTGATACTAATGTATTATTTGCCTGACTTAAAAAAAACCCAAACAAACAAATCCTCCCCTCCCCAGCCTATGAATCCTCCAGATGAAATATTTTACTGCTGAGACAGAAATGTCTGCTTGCCTGCTGGGATACCAGTAACTGCAGCTGCACTCATAAGCAGAGGATCCAAGTCTGGCAAAGGGCATAAAAATTCTAATAGCAGAGCCCTTGTAATGCCAGACTCATGTATTAAGCATCTTCCCAAAAGGTCAGAACTGAGACATGTTGCTTTCTGTGCTGCACATCAGCTCTCAAGAACTCCGATAATTCATGCCTAAAGTGCACAATCAGTGTGTTTCCTTCATGCACCAATCGCCAGAGAAGATATTACATCAGAGGTGAATAAGCCCTGTCGGTTATCTCAGAAGGGTCAGAGAGCCATAAATTGAGGCTCATAACAGACATTGCTTCACCAGAGTTGGTCCTTTATTCAGCAGAAGTTTCCAGTCTTCTCTACAATGGAAAAAAGTTACAAGAAAGCAAAAGATTGAGTCTAATGAGAGATTAAAAAGAGGTCGGAAATTAGGTCAAGCCAAACAAAAAAGAAGAAAACCTAATGTTTCCTCTATTAAAAAACCCCAAACTTATCAGCAGAACATTGCAATGGTAAAGAAAGGGAAAAATCTTTCATGTATACATTTGGGAGTGCCCTCTGAAGTACAATATAACAAAAACTGGGCACAAGCCTTGCAAGACGCCTTGCATTCCATACCAGATTTAATATGCTTGCCATTATAAACAAATAGATTATCTGAATGAGCAAGGACTAATTTTAGGATTTCAGTTTCTTAAACTCTTCTTCCTTGGTTAGAAATTTCATTCCATGCTTAGCTTGACAAATACACTTTAATTCTCCCAAATTATGAGTGAGATTTCTGTGACAACCCACGTTCATTGATAATCTCATGAATAAACACATATAAAACCTTTACAGAGCCGAGGCCTTCACAAATAAGGGGATTAAGTATTTGGTCTTGTACTTTATTACCCTACTGAATCTGAAAGAATGATGTGATTGGAGGGCATGGGAGTGGGCTGAAACTGAAGCTCCTAAAACCAGTATTTTATTTGCCCACTGAGGTTAGTAATCTTTGCTCTAATTTATTTATTTCTTTAAATGTGGCTATTTATACTGATTTTTTTATCTGTACTGTAAAATATATATATTCCCCAAAATGGGGTGTGGTAAGTTCAAGTCTGAAATGATAAGACCAAACTGATTAGATTGATTTGTTGTTGTTATAAGATTTTTGAATATATAAGCTGAAATAATAGAGAAATGAATTTGAATCAAGGTTTTAAAGAAAACTCAAAAAGAGACCTTGTTGAAGTTTGGAAAACTTTTATGCTAACTCTGGACATTTTAAAATAGATTAATGCATCTCTAACCAGGCCCAGATTCCCTCAGCCTACAAAATGAAAAGGGAGGAGAATAAAGGCATACAAAATCTCTAGGATACCACTGTAATGGCAGAATGAGCCATTTCCTCTGCTAATATAGGCAAGAAATTTGAGGCAAGACAAGGACCGAGCATCTACAAAAATTCTGTCCAGCAGTTTGGAGGAATTTATTCCTATCCCTGCAACCAGCCATAGCAGCAGCGCTAGTATGTAGGTATGCTGCCTTTGGCTACTGACATTTACCTGGCCTATCAGTTATCCCTTCAGTGCCCATAATACCCTTCAGTGTTTTCTGTGAGCTACTGTGGTTGCGACCTCTTGGTAAGCGGTTGTACTTGGCAATCCTTCTGAGGGGAGCACTGACTTTTCCTAATTTTTCTTGAAGTCTTCCATAGCTTGAGGGCAGAACAGGCCATTTGGGAGGATCTACTTCATAATTTTTGTGTTTCCCATGCTTTTCACTTAGTACACAACAACCTGTTTGCACAGAAACCAGTTCAATATACAGAAAATATATACCAAGTGAAGGGCTTCCACTTAGCCACTCTTCTTTGCTTGGCGGTCTGAGAAGATGGTTGGTGTGCGTGAGGGGAATACATGTCTCTGCATATTCCCCACACCTGTCCCTGTATGGACTTAATAAATCAGGTCTGAAACAAGCTCAGCTACATCACTGCATCCAGATAGCCTCATGCTTCAGTATTTAAGAAGTCTCTCTAGCCGATTGCTCACTGGGAAAACAAAAAGCCGTCTCCTTGTCTAAAGTTTGTAATGTATCTGAGGCATGTCTCATGTAAGTGGGAAGAACTGAGAACTGGCCCATAAGATTTGCCCTGGCCAAGATCTCTTGCAGAAAGATACACTAACATGCTTTCTTTCCCTAAGATCCCAAACCAGTGACAACTCTGGCAGCAGGACGTACAGCTCTCACTGCAGTCAACCACAACAGCCCAAGCAAGATGGGCTTTCACAATGATGCATTGCAGGATTACCCCAATATAACTGGGGCTGAAATCTTACCCATCATTACTATTACTGTGGTGTTATACTTTGTTGGGAAATTCACTTCGCCTGCATTTCATCCCTGGATCAGTAGCTGCGTTAGTCATGCATGTGAAATCACATGGAAAGGATTTAAGGGAGTAAATAGGACCTTTATTATGGTTTTGTAAAATATAGGATCCACTTAGTTCAATACCTGAAGCATCCTTCTGTATTCATCTGTCTGTCAGGCAGTCTGAAATTATCAGCAAAATATAACCATGTTTACATCAGCTATACCACAGTACCAAATTATAGTTTGCAATGAAAAAAATCACTCAGTAGGGCCTGAGTTACTTGCTAAAACCTGAGTTGCCTGGTGATGTACAAACTGCTAATCAGCTGACAATATGATCTTAATCTCACTTGAACAATGTGAATCTTAAATGGTTTTTCATAAACTTTCTCTAGTATCTTTCTAAGATTTCTTGTTTTCTCTAATCTTCCCAAGATTCCATATCTTTCTTTAGGACAAATCTGAGTCCTTCTCAAATATATCTTTGAAAACAATTGTGAGAATAATTTCAAGGTACACTCCACTTGTATCTTCTTAAACTACTGAGAAAAAAAATGCCTGATTGTGATGTCAAAAGCTTCATTATATTTCTCAAAGGTATTAACTGTGGTAAGTCACATATTCTTCTTCCTTCAAAGCTTAAACTCACATATAATTAAACTAAAATTAGTCTTGCCTTGGCTCCAACTGTACCTGCTACTCCAGTGAGATCATACATTTAGAACAGCAGACAGTGAAATATGGCTAGAGAACAAAAAATGCCATGCGTACTAGCACAGGAAAAGAAAGATAGCCAGCTTGCAACGCTGCTGTAAGAAAAAGGTGACAAAGGAGGTTACTAGGCAAGGAATGGGGCACCAAAATATTGGTCTCTGTGACAAAATTCACCCTTTCACCTCAAAAAGCTAATTAAGAAGAGCTTGCCTTAGTAGTTTTAAGGAAACAGAACTGATCTTTAAAATCAAAAAACAAGTCTTGGGGCTGCAGCACATCCCTTCCACAGCCTCTGCCCTGCCTAGGCGGGAGGAGTGGCTGCTGCCCCACTTAGTTTCTGTAGGAAGTTCTTGTTCACTGGGTCTGAATCCACATGGATCCTGAGGCCTGACCTCACTGGCAGTTCCCTCTTCAGCAACAGCTTCTTCACCGCCTTTACTCTTTAGGTATTCCGTGTCCTCAGGCTGTGTTCTGAATGTATTACAGTGAAGAGTAACACTGACTTCCTTAGGCAAGGCTTGGGCAGATACCAGGGAAAGGGAAAAGCATTAGTCCTGTGTTATTCTATCACCTTTTTTTCTGCTAGCAGCGGCATGACTGAGTGGGAAATACAGCCCTTCCTCTATGCTGGTACCCCACACATACCACTCGACTGAAGAAGCTCCAGCCTGTGATGCTTTTACTGGTGTGTACAGTAGCAGTATAACAATGCTGACTTCAATTATAGTGAGTACTGAAGCCTAATGATAACAGGAATAGTATATACTTTCTATTCAGGTCATTTGCTTGGGCTAATATATTAGCTATTAATAACCAGACTAGCCTCTTTCCCTCCCTGAGGCACTCTGCTCTGCCTGCTCTGAACCATGACAGAATATCAATGAAAAGCCTTCATAAGTTTGCAGGTGATGCCTTCCAGAGAGGATCTGGATGATGATAATCATTCAACATGCAGTTCTGAGACAGGAAGTTTACATTTCTCACAGCAAATCCCAGCTACCTCCTTCTTAAATGAATGCAGCAATTAATGGCTATATGAAACATACTTGCTCCAGTGGACTTTTCCCTCCAGCGTCTGCATCTCTCCCAATATAGCAAGGAGAAGTGAAGACTTGCCACAGCCAACCTGACCCACAATCATTGTCATCTGACCTATGATAATAACAAATACATTTTCAAAAAAGAAAAAAAAAGTTCTACTCAAGACCGCAAGGCGCAACTAGATCCAGTTCTACAGCACTTGAACTAGTTGGTTACGTTTGTTAGCATCCACTACATAAATGGGCAATACGCATAGAATCATAGAATGGTTTGGGTTGGAAGGGGCCTTAAAGATCATCTAGTGCCAACCCCCCTGCCATGGGCAGGAACACCTTCTGCTAAATCAGGTTGCCCAAAGGCCCAGCCAACACGGCCTTCAACACTTCCAGGGAGGGGGCATCCACAGCCTTTCTGGGCAAATTATTATGCATGTATTCATCATACAAATTGCAAGTATTCATCTATAGAAATATACATTAATGGACAGTACAAGTACACACTAATCTCCAAAGGAATGAGACCATTGCTTTGACATATGTTATCATGCACTGTACGGGACTTTGTTACTTTATGGAAGTTATTTAGGGTCAAATGCTATGAAGTGGGAAGTGATTATTCAGTCTGGGATTCCATTAAAATTTGGGCCAATCTAATTAGTGACTGCAACTGAGAGAAGATCCATTACTTTTTTCTGCTTTGCTGTACTCCTCCCACCACCACTTTCCTACCTTTAGTCCTACTTTGTAGTGGCAATGGTGCTTCTCAGATCTTCCCATAAACTAACTGAACTCACTAACTGTGCTAGCTAGTGCACTTGCCAGGTAAGCCTCTCGCCACCTGGGGAGTTAATGGTCTTATTCCTTCCAAAGGAGGTAAACTGTCAGACTGGTTCACCCAGCTTGTAAACCCAGGGCTGTAGATTGTAAACTCCTTGGAGTAAAGACCTTCTCCTGGTGTTGTATGTGGCACTGGGCCAGCACAAAGAAGTGTTCATCCATGTATAAGACACCTAATGCTACAGTGAAACAAATGATACAGACTTTGGGATTACCTATAGTACTTTGGGATTATTAAAAATAATAATGAATTTTTTTGCAACTATCTTTTTCATATTTATTCTTACTCTTGACTTTGTTCCTGCTGTTATAAACACTATATAAACTGTATAGGTATATAAAATCATGTAATTTTTTGTTTATTTATAGTACTTCTGGTTAATGATATAGCTGTATGACCAATACAGTTCATGACCTCGTATACATTTTTAACCTTCATTTTTTCTTATAAAAACCTAAATGTGTGGGTTTGTGCTTTTCACAACCTCAAGAAATGGAATTAGTAGCAATTTGATATTACATATTTAATGTTTAAGGTGTGCATTTATCCTACCTGTTGGGATTCTGATGTTTATGTTGGACAACGTAGCTAAACCACTTCCCCATGAAAAGTATCCATTGGTCACCTACAAAACAATTACCACAAGTCAGATATATAAACACGAGGGAAAAAACATAGAATGTCTAGTTTGGATTTAAAACGTTACTGAAATAAATCTGTGATTAATAGACATGGTGAGGTATGCTCATACACAAAAAAAAGCAAGTTAGGTTTGTAAAGACTGCCAAACTCAGGAAAGTTTGTAAATAAGGAAAGTTATATACACAAACATATATACTGATTGAAATGCAATAAAGGGATGATCTTGAGTTGAACTCTACCAAACACTTTAATTCTGTCAAGTATAAGATTAAAGACTAAGAAAAATGGCCACAAGATCTCACAGGTGACATCTAAATAGCATACCTTATCAAGGAATGAATCATCCTGTATATTGTGATACATGGCCCCTTGTGAATGGATTCCCAAAGTACAAGTTGAATATTCACAAGGTTTATGCTGAACATAAGAAAAATATTCCCCAGTGTACGCTAGCCTTTTTGTACTTCCTTTGGAGTTGACAGGGCATGAAACATTCCTTGCACAGAGTGCAAGGACATATGTGGGGAAAATTTGGCCAACATGACTTAAAATAATGTCATAATAAATGTCATGTCATAATAAATGTCAAAATGGGATTCAAAAGTTTTGATCTTGGCTCTAAGAGTGAAAGAGAAGTGTATAAAGGGAAAGTCTAAAAAATCTGTATTAATTTCTGCATATCAGATTATCTAGTTTTTGTTCCTTTAGATCCATGATGCCTCTGTTTCCTGGGAAGACAGAGAATGACTATGAAGAGCTGGTCTGTAACAAATCTTCTCACTTTATTTTTGGCTGAGGTGCTAATTTATTTAAGGGCTTGTTCTTGCATGGGACAATCTGCCTTTGGAAGAACAGCAGCAATTGGGCACTATCCCGTACTGCTGCAGGAGGACCTACTCCTCATAAAGAATGAGAAAATGTTTTCAAACCACCTTGATTGCGATATCATCTATCTCCACAGGACGTGTTTGCTTCCTTGTTGGCTGTTCATAGCTTTCAAGCTGATACCTCAAAGGCTGCCTCCTGTTGATGGCCTTGGTGTGCTACATAGTGAAATGAAGAAAGGAGAAAAGTTTGAATTCTCAAGAGGGGACAATATTTGGTTCCTTATAAAACAGGCAATCCATTCCCTTTCTTACCATCATTCTAGGTCACAGGAAGAAACTAGTGCTTTTCAGTATATGTGATAATAAAGACACACTACTGTGATGTTTCAAACACCCTTAACTGAAGTATGAGGCATATCTTTCTGATTTTGGTTTCCTACGCATAACAACCCCAGATTTCGGCTCTGTCATCCCCCTCAAACCACTAGGTAAGTCTGCCCTACCTGAGGTAGCTCCAAACAAAGCTGTGTCAGTAAAAGTGTAAGGATATGGAGAGTTACCAGTTTGGTTCTCAGAAGCAGAATAGCTGCAGGAGCAAGAAGCATATCAAATTAGCTTGTGCAGAATACCTCACTTATGCTTAAGAGTGATTGTGGAGCTAGCTCATTCAGAGCCACCTGTGGTATTTGTAAGCACCACTGTATTGAGCTAAATTGGGATAATCTTAGTGATTCCTTACAGCTGGGCTGTCTACAGTGAATGATTTAACCTTTACAGATATTACCTTTCTTTTTCCCTCTCCCCATCATCTAGACTTTGTCTGTCACTCTCTGTAGGGCTGGGCAAAAGGTGGACAAGAGAAACAAAACAAATGCTGAAACAATTTCATTTTTGTTTCCTTTAGTATAATTGTTAAGCCAGAAAAAACAAGAAGCATGTTGTTTTGGGTTGGCAAACTAATTTAATTCAGCTCAAAATAAAATTTATTTTTTGCTGATCTTTTCCTTCTGTTGCTGTCTTCAACTTTCAGTCACATTTCAAATGACATAATCAGTTTGAAACAGTTGAAATATGTAGCTTATTTCACAAAGTTTGGTGGTGTTTGTCCCACCTCCAATTCTGAATCTCCCAGAGCAGGAATCAGTCCTACCTAAAGATGCCCAACATATAATGGATTGTACTGGCAATGTACAGTACAAACGCCATAACCACAAGAAATGCACCTGGGCCTTTTATGAAAACTGAGAAGGATGAATTTGTACCATGTGTAAATGTGTTGGGGTGTGTTATGGGGGTTTTATTACTACTGGCCCTTCAGCAATGCTTAAATGTGTTTGGGGACCGTTCATGTCATAGAAACACAGAGATCCTGACATAGAAGAGGCAAAACTGGTCAATGTTAGAGTCAGGCTGGAAGCCAAAACTCCTGAGCCCTATCATTTAGGCCACTAGCCTTGTATGGGGCTATATGGCCTCTCTGCTTTGAAATTCAGTGTCATAAAACAGAACTTACAAGTCCTGTGTGCTTCTTACAGGATTCATAAGCTACAGAGCTGTCCCCACCTCTCCAGCTGTCATCTCCAATCTCATCACTCAGGAGAAACTCATTCAGCTTCTGTACACTTGAAAGAAAACAGGACAGTGAGTTAAATAAACCCAGGTTTCCATGACCACATTTCCATTTTTGTGCAGCCCAGCCAGCAGGATATATCAGAACTGTTCCAAAAGAAGTTCATGGGATACTTCTGGTTTCCTATTGGACTGTCTGCCACCCTGATGGCAAGTGAAAATTTATTTATGTGGAAGAAGGACAGATGAAAATAATTAAACATCGTACTGGTAGCTGGGAATGAAGAGGAGAGCTATTCATGTGAGTGCCACTAGAGCTCCGTGGCAATGGTTTCCATCCTGGCAGGCTTACCTCTTCTGTGCCTTTCTTATGCCTACGCACAGTCAGGATGCATAAATGAGTCATTCACCCACCTACATCCTCTGAAAATGCCAATGCCTCAGGTGCATCCTGAACACAGCTTTTGCATACACTGCATGCAAATGGGACTGAAGACTACACAACCCAGGAGAGCCACGGCCAGCCTTGGACAATTACAGCAAGAGCTCTCTTTGCCTGCTTCTTAAAAGTGTCCACTGGGAAATAAAGCACACAAGTTCAATTCATTCTTCATCACAGAAGGATCTGATCCCCTTTCCGCCCCATTTCCTTTCAGAGTGCTGTAAGCACCTAGCTCTTTATCATTCTGGGGAAGGGATGAACAAAAGCACCCACTGGTCATGCTATGTTACTTTGTAAAAACTAAAATCAAGGTGCATTGAGCCAGAGACTGAGAAAGCAGAAGGACATAAGACTTCAAATCAGTGATTTGAATGTTAATCTGCAAATGGGAAAGTAGTCCTTTTTTAAGGCCTGTCTCAGCATTTCGTATGAAATTATCACTACATGTTCAAGCCACAGAGATACTGGTTAGCAAGAAAGCACTGCTATTGTCATTATTTCCTCCTGCCAGTATATCTGTTCCTATCTCCTCTTTTGAAAGGAAAATTTATGTGTCTAACTCCCATATCAGAGTTTAAGTCTTACATAAGTGCATCAAACAAGAATTTATCTTCTTGTAGAAGATAAGAGACCTCGTTCTGATCATCTGCCTAAGAAGACATCAACCGTTACTTTGCATTTGAACAAGGACAGGTACCCTCAAAAGTTTTCATGGTACTAGAAGTACTCTTTAACATAAAATGGAGAATCTGACCAAAGTATGAGCACTTAATCATAACACAAATGAGCACATACTCATATACATGTATTTGATTGATGGTAGAGCCGTGGAGTGGCCAAGCACGCATTCTTCATTCTTCACTTGGGGGACATGATGTTCATGGGAGAAAGATGTTAAGAAGTAAGTTTGCCAAAGGGTAAAGTTTGTTTTGGCAAATATGGTCTCTAAATAGTGTCCTGAGGGGTGGCCAGCAGTGTTAAGGAAAATGTACACACCAATTTGATATTAGGGCTATGCTAAACATAGTGCAGAGATGTAGAGGCTGGGATGATTTATAAAGGAGCCTTGAGATTTTCCACTAGTCAGAAATAATTTTCAACCTAGGGAAAATGTCTCATGTGGCCCTGCTGCTGCTTTGACAAAAATAAACTCTATTTAATTTTTTTTTTAAAGTGAGTGTGGTGCTGGCAAATGACAGCTGTGGAGCCTGAAGTCCCCTTGACTGCTATTTGTTATTACTGTTACCCACCAAAAAGAGGCAGTGGCAGCAGCAATGCAATACCTTGCCAATGTGCTTCAGTCTTGGCAAGAAGGAATTACGTTTCTGGGTGTGAAGGTTAGTTCGGTCTTTACATCCTGCTCATGCTTGGCATCTGACACATTACTGCCAGTCAGGTGTCAGTTTGCGCCTCTTGGGACATCTTGTCAGTGTGTATGTCTACATAACTGCCCCATGACCATGACTCTTTCCATACAGACCACTGACGCAACAGCCAAAAGTCTGAAATTTGACTTACTACCAACCAGCTCCCTTGAGATTAAGTGCTCTATAGTCCAGCACGAAGGAAGTTGTTTTGTTGGGCTACTTGCAGCAATAAATGCCTGGAACATATAAGTTTCTGATGAAGCAACATATTTTATGAGTTCCTTTTCCTTTTTTTTTAAAATCTTTTCCACTTTGTGCCAACTTCTTCACTGTCCTGCCATGCAGATCCCTAACCCTCACAGACAAAATTCCGAAATATCTGCCTTGCCATGCTTTCTCTCCTGCATCTCTTTACTGCTATTCAGGGGAACAGCAGTTTCTCTATAAGAGAAGTGCTGTAGGACTCAGTTTCCCTTGGGTGACTAGTCCAGTGTTCCTCTATCCACTTTCTTTCCTAAGAAATTCCATGCTAGTGCTAGACAATGGGAGACAGGTCAATACCAAATTCTCACGTAAAGCCCAATGCACCGTTTGTGGAGGTAGACTTAAGCCAGTTGCTCTCCCTTGCATCAGCAGGGCCAGTCTTGCTAGATAGCTTCACGCCAGTCTCTCTCATCTCCCTCTGCATTGACAAGAGCTCAGAAAAGTACTAGGTAAGGGTGACGGTGGGTGGCCACACTGTGAGAAGAGGAGCATATCCCAAGGAAGGACAGTCCAGCTCTGAATCTGACCTGCCAAACTTGGTGAAATTATCACAAGAATGGAACATTTCTTTGTCTCTGTGTCATGCAGTAAAAAGAAATGGTTACTCTGATTTCTCTCACATTTTTGAACATCTCAGTCCCACCTCTTAATCCTCTTCCATGTGAGCAGGTAGAAACCACCTTTTTCTCCAGCACCTTCCCTGTTGTATTACTGAATGTAGGTGTTCAAGAGTTGGAGAAACAAGAAGGGCCACTTACCTTACGATAGCCTTGACTGCAAAACGAACCACAGTGGAGAGCAGGAACAGCGGTGTGACCAGGATGTGAAACAATGAGAGGGATGCAAAGGCCTGGGCGGGCTGCAGCGGCTTGACATTGGTATACGCGTAAGTCACAAAGGTCTGTCACATCAGGAAAAGAGCATGTCAGGTTAAGGACTCTTGAAAAAGATGGACAAGGACAGCGAGCAAAATATTTTGCTCAGCTAGGGCCAGTAACTACATAGCTCAATTTATTGGGAATCCCAGTAAACTGAAGAGAAAGCTGTCTTCTATTAAAGTGCAAAAGATTTTAAAAACTTGCCAGTGATTTCAAGAGATTTACACATTTAAGAATGAAAAACTTTTCTTTATAAAGTCACAGCATTTAGTTTTGTAAAGTTTTGTAACTGACTTCAGGGTTTAGAGGAAACAAACAAACCAGAAAAATCAGTAAGAACCTAATAAATCTTATGGGATTTTTTCACAGATGTAGAACTATGGTCATATCTCATCCAATGTTAGCATACTCTGAGTAATGCCCTCAGCATTTGGTCTAGGAAGACTCGTTACTAGCCGGCATGCCATAGTTCCTCCAGTGCATTAGGCTGAGATTTAAACCTGGCCAGAGGACAAGCAAAATTTATTTCTCCCTAAACTGCAGAGTACCCTTTCTTGAAAACTAAAATGGTGGCTTATAATGCACTTTGAAACAGGAATGATTTTCACTGCTAGACAATAGAAAAGCAAAGCCACCCAAAACCCTTTCAAAATGAGACCTTCTCAAAATGGGTCTTCTTTCAAGTTGCAATGCTTTTTTTCTTTCTTATAGGAAAAAATTATATTTCTTTTTGTTTTTACCAATCCAAGCCACAGCTGGTGAAATACCAGCTCTTGGAATGGACACTTCCAGTGTCATGCTATTCTACAGTTAGCAGGGGCACATTAGCTCATCTGCCAGTTTTATGAGGAATATGTCCTACAAAAACAATGGTGTCTTTTCTTTCTTTCTCCCCCTCTCATTTTCTCTGTCTTTTTATAAGGAAAAGTGAAAAAACCATTATCTTACTGCAAGAACAGCAGCTATTGGTATGGCCGCATTCATAAAAACTGTGAAAGAGAAATAAAATAGGCATCAGATTATATGAAATAAGCAAAAACAGTTTTACCATTAGTTGTATGGCACTAGAAGAATCCAGTTATTTCCAATTTAAGTAATTAAAACTCCCAAAGGAAAATTCCTATGCAGGAAGAAATTTCCTTCCATGACAGAGAGACATCTTAAACACACAAACAAATAAGCCAAGTAATTATCTCATTTGTATACTTTAGTGAACTGGGATAAAAAGTTTTATGTGCACAATTATTATGCAACACAACGAAAACATTACCCTGTCAGCTCTTCTACATTACAGAAAATACAATTTCATTCAGACACTAATTTATCTTTCCTGTAATCAGAGCTGCTAATGTTATCTGGAGCCTTCTTACTATAAACCAATTCATAACTGTAATGTCATTATGAAGGTGACAGAAAACTTCCTACAAAAAAAAAAAATCAGCAAAGCATGCTCTGTATTTTCAAGTTTCTGTGTTATATATTTGTCATGCCTTTTTATTTGAATCACATTTCACACACACAAAAAATAGTGTCATAGGCACAGCTGTATTTGGCTTTAGTTGAAGCCAGGAGGAATGTTGACATGGAGAACAGGATCCATTTCTGAGCATTAAAAACATAGTTACTTACTGGAAAGAGATGTATGAAGCGCAAAGGTTTTGAGACTGGTGAGTTCCTTCATTCTTGTTTCTTCCACGCTAGTACAAAATATGTGCTCCCAGGCATACAGCTTTAATAACTTAATGCCTTTTAGTATCTCATTGGTTTTCTTTAATCTTTCAGTAGAATAGTCCTTCATTTCAAAAGAAAACAAGGATAAGAAATTGATAATGGTTTATAGTTTTAATGAGAATACTCTTTTCCCCTCACTTCTGTTGTAAAATTCATTAAAGATTTATAATTTTGTTTGGTTTTTTGTACAGGCTTTCAGTTGCCATACTGAGTAACACAATATAAAATTCCTTGTTCTTTAGAGATGTTAAAGTGTTTACAATCATGAGGGGAAATTAAGTGACCTGTTCTGAGAAGAAATATAACCCAAAACATCTGAATCCTTCAAATAGAGGGTGAAACTCAGGGAGGTGGATTAGTAGGTCAGTGGTGTCCATAACAATAGACAGAAGACTTCATGTGTGTGATCGCTGATACAAGATTCATTCTGGGATTCATACAGACCGGCGAGCAAAATAAATAAGATGTTTATTCATATATTTAGCTAATTGCCTCCACCAGAAAACAGTAATTCTAAGTTTTGGTAAAATCATAATCCAAAAGATGTTATGAGTCAGACAAACTCAGAAAAGAGCAAAAAGAAAGATTCAGACTATTTCTGAAATTATGTAAAGATAAATCCTCTGTTGGTATAAATTGGCACAACTGTACAGGATTGAAGTGTGCTGAAGATTAAATTAATGTATGTATAATTTGCTTACTGAATATTAAGATAACAAGGATCTTTAAATATTCAACAACTCAAGCGTCAAAGGTTGATTAAAAAAGTTCAAGGATCACAAGAATAAAGTTAAAAATTAGACAAAGTATCAGAAAACATTTCTAATTGGTGAACTAAATTAGACAGCAAAATAAACTTACAGCACTGAAGAATGTAAAATAGATATTGATCCAGCAATGCCAGCTGATTTTTAGAGAATACCAAAGCTTGGGGTGAGAGCATAAAGTCTCTAGCCATTTCAGAGGGCGGTTGTACACATTCTTTAAAACTCTCCTCCTGTAATTTATCAGTCATTTGTACTGTTTGCTAACATCCCATGAAATAAAACACCTGCATGTAGGAATAGCACCCTTTCATGGAACGGAATTCAGGTGAAACCATGCTAGTTGGGTGAAAAATACTCTCTGCAGAGAAGACAGGTCAAGGCCCACATACTTTTTTCAGATTCTTGTCTGACAAATGTTAGGACGGAAGAGATACTAAGCCACAGAAAAACAGAAAGGGAGGGATGATGGAATTAAGACGCAGCTTGCCCAAACCTCTGCAATGAATGTTCACTAACAACAAGAACCCCTGATTACTCGTTCTCATTTCTGGATGTGCTGGTTTTGGCTGAGGTAGAGTTCATTTTTTTCACAGTAGCTAGTATGGGGCTGTGGTTTGGATTTGTGCTGAAAACAGTGTTGATAACACAGGGATGTTTTAGTTGTTGCTGAGCAGTGCTCACACAGAGCCAAGGGCTTTTCTGCTCCTCACCCCACCCCACCAGCGAGGCGGCTGGGGGGGCACAAGGGGTTGGGAGGGGACACAGCCAGGACAGCTGACCCCAACTGACCAAGGGATGTTCCAGACCATAGGATGTCATGCCTAGCATTTAAAGCTGGGGGAACAAGAAGGAAGGGGGGGACATTCGGAGTGATGGCATTTGTCTGCCCTAGTAACCATTAGGCATGATGAAGCCCTGCTCTCCTGGAGATGGCTGAACACCTGCCTGCCCGTGGGAAGTGGGGAATGAATTCCTTGGTTTGCTTTGCTTGCATGTGTGGCTTTTCCTTTACCTGTTAAACTGTCCTTATCTCAACCCACGAGTTTTCTCACTTTTACTCTTCCAATTCTCTCCCCCATCCCACCGGGGGAGAGAGTGAGCAGCTGTGTGGAGCTTAGTTGCCGGCTGGGGTTAAACCACTACACTAGGGATCACAAATGTCACTGAAATAATTTACTTACGAGAGTGCTCTTCTGAGCCTCAGCCAGCTTCGTAGCTATGAAGTACTGTATTGGAGCTAACAGTACAATGACAGCGGCACCGACCAATGCACTCATTCCAAGTAAATTGTAGAGTAGGATCACACCCATTATTATCTATGAAGAAAAAAGCAATATAGAAAAAGGAGATTTCAATATGCCAGAAGGATAGCAAGAAAAAATATTTTTCCTTCTAATAAACAAATGGTTCATAGGAATCAAGTGAGCCCTTACTTCAGAAGGTCGTGTTTGGAAAGTGTGGGAAATAAACCCAGAAGCCTTTATTTTTGACATTAACTGCATAGTTTGTGTTACTGCCTGGTAGTCCTAATTCCAGACGAGGTTTCCACAGAACTAAAGGAGCACTAAAATGATGGTGCTTACCCCAAGGCATTTTACAGAATCACTGGCCTTAAGTCTTATTTACACTAGAACTCCTTACATCACTGGAAGTTTTCAAAGGTCTTAGGACTGTCATGAATCACGTTTGCATTCTGTCATAGTGGTCCTCTTGCAACTGCAAACAGAGGCACATCTAAGACAGGCACTGAAGCATATGTGGTGGGAGTGACACAAATCTTACCTTGTGCATCAATACCATGTAGGTCTGTAGGAAAGTACCAAGATGCTATCTTAGTCCTACAAAAAGTTCGGGAACACTTCCCACAATGGTTTACCCGGGAATGTCTCTGATGCAACTACTGTAATTCTGCTTCCTGTGTTAATACAAGCTCTACTACATAAGTATTTTGATAAAAAGCTCCACTGTATGGTACAGGATATACAGAACTAACTAGTTGCCTACTTTGTATTTTTGCTCTCTCTTCAATGAGTCAGTTCTGTCTTTAAATCTGCATTCTTACTATACAGTATCAGAAATAAGAATCAGTGAAGTTCAACATTTTGAAAGCATTATTTAGCTCTTCAGGCTTGTGTAATGTAAATTAGCATACCTACATGCCATTTTCTTAGCAGAATAACACAAGGTTACAGGTAGCAATTTGTACTTGGGGTAAACTGAAGCCCTTACTAGGGGCCTGAACCTGCAATGAGTTTTTGTGATTGATAACAGGCCATAATTTGTTGATACACAATGTATTTTGTAAGATTCATCCCAATCTTCAGCAGGCTATGGTTATATTGGCTCACTCTTGAAGGATATAAGTTCAGTATTTGCTACAAGCTTTTCTGCTTGAGGAGGGCGCAGCCCTGACAAGTGCTGTTTCTTGAGACGTCCCTTGAAGTTCAACTCTTTTGCATAAGGCAAGATAGAATAGTCCCAACACCTTTTCCAGAGTGGTATAGTTATAATCCAGCTCATAGTTACGAAGGGTTAGTTTCTTCCTTCTTTTTTGCAAAAAGCAGCCAATTGAGCTAATCAGGCAGAAAGACTTATTACCATAACACCAGTGTCATTGATATCAGCTGCATAATACTTTGAGAAGGAAATAGTAAATATTCTCCTTTCAATTTTATTGTTGGAGCAGATGTGTAAGGTAATCACTATGACTGATAGAGCTAAAGAGCAGAAGGAGCCCTTTGTAGCCTAGGCCACAGGTGCTCACTCACCAAGTTCTTCAGCAAGGGTAAATTCATGGGTGATGCTACGCTCATTCCTGCACAAAGCTATTGTCAAGCTCCCCTGTGTTCCCTGTCTCCTGATTACCTGAAGGTCAACTACAGGAACCAGCAAAATCATCAGAAATTTCCTCAAACCAGCCTTTTACAGTAGTGGTAAGGAAGGCCATTACATTTCTACAGTGGCTGAGACAGAGACTTTATTAAAGAGACAAATGAGTGGTGAATTTAGTCTACATATAATTCTTCACTAGCCACAGGAATCAGACCACCTGTTCATTTAATAACATTCAAAGTATTAACAGCAACTCTTCCAAATAAACGTGGGTGTGAAACAGTGACTTAAAATTAAATGCTCTGTATTATTTCTAATTTCTGTTACTGTGCAAACTTTTTTTGTCCTTTTCTCCATAAATTATTTGATGACTCTCTAAACCCTACCCTATCCTAAAATAGACACATAAACCCAGTATTTTTTTCCATTAGTAGTAATAATATTGCTGACTATTATAATAGATTACTGACGCAGTCCAAGGAATTTCAGCAAAACAGATCTACTATAAGAGTGGCTTTTATCCTTTTTTAAACTTATTTAATGTTGGTGGGGTTATCTACAAGTTAGGGCCATGTCAATTGCACCCCAAGCTAAAATTCTGAAGGTGCTACAGGAGTCCAAGCTTCATGGAAAATCAGCATGGCTTAGGTCATTAAGTCATTTAGCACTTTTGAATATTTCTTTCAGGCTAATAATTTTTACTTTTCCTTCCTACAGATCCGCCTACAGATCTTTCCCAGCCTTGTTAAGAACCAGATGTTTACAGTAACTAAGCTCGTTTATATGAGAGCTACTCTGGGCATTCTGTGCAGCACGCTGTTGGTGCTGCTGTCAGTCACTGAGCAGGATTCAATTGCTTTTTGCTCCTGCCACAAAACGCAGTTAAAAAGTGGACACTGCAAATGCAATACTTAGCACTGGTCAGATGCCTGTGATGCTGCCATGTGGCAGAAATAAAAGCAATGACTTGTGTCAGTAGTGGAAGAAATATGAGCAGGGAAAGGATGACAGGTCATGATTCTTAAAGTCACAGACCACATCCATGACATGGAAATCCTGCTCAAAAAATTCCTCTCTTTACTTCAGAGACAGCCTCCCAGCCCTTGGAGGAGATGATGGACCACGTTTCTGCTTGTTAGTCTTCCTGGCAAATGAGTGTGAAGTCCAAGTTCCCCTCTGGATTCTGTAGTAGTCTCACAGACATATACTCTTTTCAACCACGTTGGAGGATCTCTGAAATCAGGCCCTTACTTTGATGCTCTACCTGAACAGGCATTGCCCACAGATTGGGGCACAGGAACAAGAACCACATTAATTGATTTGTTTCTATGGCAACCAAGTTATTGATTTGTCCCAGTGTCATCTCTCCCATGGACAAGTTGGATGTCGAAAGCCTCAGGATCTTATTATATATCATCGCCTGTAGGAAAGGAGTAAAATGGAAGATATGAAAATGATATAATTATAAAGCAACAGTAGCAGAAGGACATTTCAAGCTGCGGTATCAGTCTCTACCTAAGACAGCCCTTCTCCAAGTCTCTCACCTGAGACACAGAAAGAGAGATGGAGACAGAGTGAGAGAAAGCACAAGAGAGAGAACTGACTTTAAAAAACTCCAAATCCTTTTAAAAGGTTTGTTGCTTAACACAGACCTAAAATAGAACAAAATGACAGCAAAACATCAACATTTAGGAGACCGGGCAAAGATCTCCTTTGAACAAACATTTGGTGAGCCTGCTTTTCTGTGACACTGTCTGTCAAAGAGATCTTTGTTTCTGATAAGATAGTTAAACTCATGCTATGAAGTTTTGATCAGGGTGGCTATATATTCCTTTGGGTTTCTCTTCTTTACCTGGCCATCTATTTCCATAAAATTTGTAGGAGCTTAAGAGAGTTTAAAATTAATCAGGGCTTATATCTACCAGAATTTTAAAGACAAATATTGTGAGCCCAGTTTGCAGCTACGACCAAATATCAAACACTGCAACTTTGAGAAATTTTTAAAAATATTTTGTGCCCTTTGCCCTGTTTTGTCCATGAATCCTGCAGAATTAAGCAGAAATGCCTACACGCCATGGTGAATTACATCAGCTGCATATGGTCCTAAAAGTCCCCATTTTGGCAAGTGGGAGTTGCAAAAGCACAAGGAAATAATCATGTATGCTTTCTCCACCATGTCTGTACCATCTATCCTGGGAGAAGGCAGAAAATGTTTGAAATATCTACATCAATCATAGCGTGCACAAAACCCAGAAGCTTCCATGCTGAGATGATATTCTTGTGGTTAGTTACACCTGGCAAAACATCAGTTCCAGCTTCTGTTCTGCACACAGTGCTACTGCTGTCCATGGAGCGTGGTCTGCGGAGATCCCTGCTACAACCCACCCATGTTCTGAGCTGGAGCTGCTGGCTCCAGTTCATAAACATGGCTTTCACAGAGGGTTAATGGATGCCAGGTTTAGAGACACAGTTTTGGAGATGAATTACTCCTGTCCCATCCCACAGGGCTCTGTGCAAAAGGGCATAAATATTCAGAATCACGCACATGATACATGGACAATGTTCCCGTAAAACATAGCGTGGCCAAAGATACTCTGCAGATAACTGCTCACAGTCAGCAGAAGTAACCTCATAGGCAAATGAACAAAGCAGGGGCAGAGCCAAAACAACACTGCTTATCTTCATATACTTAACGTCATCTGCAAAAATATGTTCTTACATGCACAGTGTGAGTGCTAAACTTCTGCACGTTAGTATGATGGTTTTTGTTTTTAGCAAAAGCAATTGCTGCCATCAGTTTGGCTGTGTCACTGATACCACTTCTCCAGTTTTCTGTATAAAAATACGGTGCCTCTCTTCTCTCAAACAACTGTTAACTGAGTCTTCAGATAAAGAACAAGACAAATGAAAGTACAAAGCTGGAGCTAGTATTAGTGAATTTCTTGGCAGATCACGCAAACATCTTTGCTCACCAGTAAAGCACCTCGTAGGTTGATGCCAGTTTCTGTAGTTACATAGTAGGATGCCTGCAGGAATGTCCTCTGCAAGATAAGGGCCAGGAAAAGAAGAACTGCCAAAACATAAACATTTCTGAGGAATTCCTCTGAGGAAAGATATGAATTTGATGGATCCTTCACCTGAAAAGAAAGGAAAAAGTGATGAAAGTGGCATAGGAGGAATTGTATGTTCTTGAGATACAGGAAACAAGGGAATTCAGTCATTACATTACAATAAAAAATATTGGTGGTATTATGGGACAGTTATGGAAATCAGATTTCTCACTGTACCTACACAGCAAAATCATTTGGATACAATTAAATACTCCGCTCATGTTCCAAAGACTTAACTTTTAGCTGTTCTAAAATGAATTGGTTTTAGCAGGAAAGGGACAATTAGATCACCATGTCTGCCTTATCTTTAGTTTCTTCATCAAATTCTGATGACTTATAGGATAGAAATGCTACTCTGTAGAAAATAAAGCTCATTCCACCTGGACCACAAAGAAGCTGCAAGAAAATATTTTTTATTATATGGGATTAGTTACTCATGTTGCATTTGCATATTATGGAAACAATTCCTTCCAGAAATATAGCCTATGATACCTGTGAATTCTGAATAAAATAAGAACATATATACCAGTATTCCCCACAAAATGAACTTTAAACAGGGGGAAAAAAAGTCTCATTCAAATCACTTTATTTGTTTTCATTTTCTAGTTTTGATATTCACTGTTCTGCTCTGTTTTAGGCAGAAAAGGAAACAAATGTACCAAAATACTGCAAGGAAGGCTGTTCTTTTGGTATTTCCGATCCAGCTGGAAGCAGGATGTACTGGAATTCTTACAAAAAAAAAAAAAAAGAAGAAGAAAAAGCCTGTTCCACTGAACTACCCAGCCTGATCCTGAGATGAAAGGACTGGGGAATAGTGGAAAGTAAACCACTACCCTCTTGGAGATTCTTTCATCACTCTGGATAAGTGTCATCTGCCATGAGACTGCAGGCAGGAGAGAGGTGCTCGGAACCCTCCAGGCTCACCTCACTGCAGTGACCCCAGCCTCGCCACACCACACACTCCTCCCTCTGCCATGGGCAGCTGACACCCAAAAGGTGTGTATATGCACCCAGCAGTGTTTTCAAAAGGTCCAATGTCTGTAAGACACCTAAATCCCACTGAAATAATAGGTCTAAGTGGCTCAACCAGCCCAAGACTCCTTGAAATGTGGGTTGTTTAAGTTTATGATTGGCCAGGTAAATATATTTGAAAACTCTTCTCTTAATGTGCTGCTGCATCTAACTTCCCCATGTTTACATGGTGGGGATATCAATAATAACATAACATTTGTAGATACCTTTATTAATGTACATAGAGTTCTCAGGTATTAAGGGAGAATAAGCATAAAATGCAATTAATTCACATTAATTGGAACTAGACCGAATTTAAAGGAGAAACACATAATAGCAAGAACAACCAAGAGAAAGTTTATCAAAATCCATAAATTAAAAGCAAATGTATTCTGAAATGTATCCAAAAGAAATAGTGACTGTCACCAAGCTAGGCTCTTGGAGTGGTTTCAAGTTCTCCAATGATTTTAATCTTCCCTTTAGCCAGTGTTGATTAAAACTTAAAAAAACCCACAACTAAAACCACTACACTGAAGAGTACAAAAGATGAAGGAAGTGTACAAGGTACAGATTCCTAAATTTGAGATCCAGAAATTATAATTTTCAAGCTAAAATACCTTGTTTGTTCAACATGCAAAACAGCCCCATTTTTGAGGCGAAATATGCACTTTCCCTTTTAACTCTGTGCCTCAAATCCAACACGTGGAGGTTCAAGGATGATAAAGACCTTTATTTGATAAGCTGCACAATTAAAGTCTCATTCTTCAGTGCAATGGCTGAATGAGAGTCTAAAGCCAAATTCAGACCATCAAGAAAATGGATGTCAGGAGCAAGCAGCCAAGGAGAAGTTTGGACAGTGATGATAGTCAAATGCTTTATCTGCAGGGGAAAATGTTATTCCATTACATACCTATCTGCTCCTTCAAATATAAAACACTCCGCATAAAGTGTTTGTAGATGTTTCCATCTCAGAAGACAGACGTAGGAAAATTTCTTCATCATGTCTTCTCTGCTGTCAGCTAGTAAAATAATTTTACCTGTATCTTTTCACTAGTTACTAATAAATTCTTTTTCCTATGATAGAAAAGGTTCTGTATCAGAGGTTTGCTCAGTGCTTAGAGGTGGCCTCTGAAATTTCAGTCTCCGTGAAACTTGAAATGAGCTGTGAACTAACATCTTTTGTGCATCTCTAGTATCAGGAATGCCATTGAATAAAGTAGATGCTTATCACCTTCTCACATGCACCAATGCATTTCACCACAGCAACAAGAGCACAACCAGTCACAAACAGGGAGTGACTACTCTCTGCCTCCCAGTGGAAAACAGATTTCAGAGAGCTCAAACCAGTCAATGAACTACCAATGGACAGACGGATAGAAATTAAGCAGAATTCCCAGACTCATCCCTGCTGGATGCCTCCCTGAGGCACCACCAGCGGGTGTCCTGCCTGAGACGAGGAGGCATAGTTAAAGAGGAGCAGAAAAGCTGTTCCTTCTCCCCAGAACTGCAGGGATGACTCCACCAAGAGGCAGACAGCTGGGCAACTGGGGGAAGCCTGCACTACCTGTGTTGCATTCATACCAAAGACTTCCACTACTGAGATTTATAACTTGACTGTCTCTCACAAAAAATTACTCAATTTGCTTGAAAGAAACAATGAAATAATACAATGATGATCACAGACATATAAAAGCATGCAGCCAGAAGTATTAAATACCTGATATGAATCTAGAACTACTACCAAACAAAGTCTTTCAATCCGTGTTGTCACGTTACCTTTTCTGTCGTATTTGTATTATTGGTTGTATTCTGGAAGCCCTGGACAATGCCAGAAATGCACAATGGCCCAGCAAAACCCAGCAAGTCAGCCAAGTAACGGAATGTGCTGCTGAGGAGAATTGGTCGTCCAAAAGCACTGTACATGGCTAACCATATGGAGGGACTCCGATTGGGCTGGTCTGCTACCTTTTTCTGGAAAACAGAGAAACAGGTATCAATGCACCAAGAAGAGACCTCCCTGGCTTTATTACGGCAACTTCCATCTCGTTCCTGTCTGGATGCCCAAATGGTTCCTGAAGGGTGTTTTGGAGTGGGTGAGGTAGCAAACATGTAGATATCAACAGATTTCAGACATTCTTCACAGCAAATTCAAATTCTGCCTCCTCTTGGTAACTGCGGTTTCTCATCTCTAAATCCTACCACTTTTCTGAACCTGTGAACACAGGAATGCACACACAGATTAATCATACTGGCATGTAGCCATTGCTCCTTGTCACATGTGCGCTTAGGAAAAGGTCTGACCTTTCAAGCCCTTGCTGGTATGGGTAATCTTGGCTTTCACAGTAGCTGTGAAACCACTTGATCCAGTAAAGGCCTCTGATGTGAGAAAGGGATTGAAAGAGAAAACATGGACAGACACCTACAAGAATACACTTTAATTTATCTGGATTTTTTTCCATCTCTTGGACGCCTTCCAGGAAGACACACTTCAGCCGATCAGCAGTTACTGTGCTCAACACGATGAAAGTAACAGGCTATGTTGGGAGGTAAGATTAAATCAACCAAGGATGCTTTCTAGCTTTCAGTTCTGTGGATCTATGCAGTATGACAACTCCTGCCCTAAAACACCAACCAGCAAATATCTCTGTATCTAGTCAGAGGAGTTCTGGCATTTCTGAGGTCCTTTCAATCTAAAGAAGAAAGAGTTTTACTTAACAGATCTATGGTCTGCAGAGTGCTTCCTTGCGCTTCAAGCAGCAGCTTTTGACACTTTAAAAAAACATCTGTCATTTTTCAAGTAGCACAGATGACTGCAAGTTGTAACCCACGCCAAGCCCTCCTGAGTGTTCACAGAGACATTTTAAGTATAGCCCAGTAATAACAACACCCTGCCCTGGCAAATTAACCAAAGAAAAACAAGCATGCCTGTACCCTGCCTGGCTGCCTTGTCTTTTTTCCTCTTTTCTCTGTTTTTCCTTTCATGCCACTTCAACAGTGAGATAGAATATGTGCATGGTGCCAAAAATGTACAAGGGTACAGGAGGGCCAGATAGCTGCTTACTGGCTTCTAGAGATTAGGCCAGGCTGGTCATACCCAATGCCAAGAGGCTTAATACAGAGAAATAAGCAGCACGGGGACAAACTGGAGGTAAGATTTCCGACAGTGGTAAGAATGAAACTGCTTCTTCAGATGAGGGAAAGCACGCAAGGGCCTCATGCAAATTTCCCAGACAAAAGGCTCTGAATCTGTTGCCTAATGGGTTTTGAGCTAGACGGCACTACAGGAGCTACTGGCATCCTCCTCAAATAAATGATCTGCACTTTAGCAGCTTGATATGAGCTAAGCTAATTTATTAGGAAAACACATCTGCTGTCTTTCAGAAAAAATTGCACATCCTATTATGGACATTCAATTAATGGTAAATTTGGTAAATAGCATTGGCAAATCCTTATTTCTTTAATAAGATTTTGCTATTTTAATAGCTGTTTTCACTACTACTACAATTCACATAACTGTCATTGCTACATGAAATATACTTACTTTTCATTGGAAAAAATATTATTTAATTTAAATTAAATTATCTAATAATCTCTATTGCTAAACACTGTTGTTTCTTCGTTTTTAATCAGAATTTCAAATTCACTGAAGTATCTAATGGGCAAGGGAGAGAAAGAAGAGTCGGTTTTTCTTCTAATCTTAAGCTCTTTTCCAGAATGGTTCTTGAGGCCCAGTGTTATGGGCTTGCAGTATAGTATGTTGTACATGCCAACCCTATCCTTTATTTAGGTACTGAAGGATGATCTGTCAGTCACCACTCATTATAGCTGTCTGACAACCACTGACATGTTTCAGTAAATCCACAGTTGAAAGTTTGGCCAATGTCTTAAGACACAAATAAAAAGCTCTGTCTGGGCCTTCTGCATGAAAAAATGTTATTACCATGATGATTATTTTCTGCAGTTTCCCAGTCCCTTTAAACTGCTGTGGCTTGGGAAGCCACCTGAAGCCAAGAGTTTCTCCTCCTGGGCACAGGAGGCTGGAAGGACATACTTTCCTTTTGGAAGGTGAGAAAAAGTATCTTAAAACATAATGTTAAAAATGATCCAGTTACAGAAAAGGAGGGGAGCTGTACTAAAGACAGGGAAGAGTTGCAGCAACACAAATGTGAACTTAATCAGTTTACACAACTATACATCCTGGTGTTTGTTTAAATTTTCCAGGATTATTTTTGTTGGTATGGTTGGTAGCGTTTGTTGTGTGAATTACTAGGCTGGACTGCTGTTCTCACTTGTGGCACTTGCTTAGGTTTTCTTGTCACCTCCCTTTTAAATGATTGTAATTTTCTCTACCTTGGGCACTCAACAGTTGAAATAAGGGCAGTGAGACAGCACTTGCTGGTAAATCAAGCCACCTGTAAGGTACGCCTCAGTAAATACGGAAATCTGACTGTTCCCTTACTGCTGGAGCTGACAGTGTCAGTCTGATGCTGAAGGGCAATGCTCCGTCCCTGTGATTTCTAGCTACCTAACACACTTTCTTTTCTCCTGGTTTTGCCATAACAGGTAAGATCCACAGTGGCACATGAACAGCAAGTATAGGAAATTCTGATGGTCCTTGACTTTAAAAATTGCATTTTCTATTACACCATCCCAAAAGTAAAACTTTCTATTGACTGTCAGAGCAAATTACACAGGCTTTTGGTTGATGGGGTAAACCAAATGTAATATCAATGTGTTAAATCTAGTTTGGGATATGTGATGTATGATGCACTAGTATGTGGTTTGAAACATCCACACTACTTGTATAGAAACCAAAACAAAAGCCAAGCAACAACAGAAACAGGATAAAATTTTTGGGGAGGGGGATTATGTGACAAGTACTACCCACATATAGTACATTGGTCCAAAAATTTGGCTGTGAGAGTTTCATTGCATATTATTAAAGACTTATTTTTCTTCTCAATCTTATTAAAAAATTCTTTGTCTTCTGCAGAAGCAACCTTCCTATCCACATTTAGAATTTCTCCAGGATTCTTAGAAAGGTATGATAAAAACACTGTAAGATGAGGTATTTCTGTTTCTATAGGAGACTGTCCAGAAAGGCAAGAAAATAAAGCACGTCCATCTTTTAGAATATTTACTGACAGCAGGAAATAATGAGATAAGGAAAGCCAATTGCAATTTTTTTGGCAGTACTTTGTTTAGGAAAAAAACTCAAACAGCATATTTAAGTAAGCTCAATTATCAAAAGAGCTTGTTTTACCTCTAGTTTTATAGTATCTTCTAATTTGAAAGAACATATGCTATGTTGTTTTCTTATGATATGCTGTGTTATGCTATGTTGCCGAACACAAACTATCTATAAAACCAGCAACAAATGACCTATATCTTACTGTAAGTGTTGGAATGCCTTTTGCAGTAGCAACTACCAGACTAATAGCCAATTAGAATGTTGATCACCAGTTATTTAGCCTTGTATTGTGTTGGTTTATATTGCTTAATATTATAATAAAATTACTGATAACTGGCTTTAAAGTTCTATAAAACACCATGTAGCATGAAAGTGATATTAAAATTAAATTACTTGATGTTTTGAAAAAATTACTTATAACAAAAGAATTTTGAGTAGTGAATGTATTCATAATGCTAAGAAATGCTTGATGAAAACTTGAAGATGTAAGAAAATATAGAAGAGAATAGTGAATTCAGATTTGTTACTGAGAAGTGTTAGCTTAGGTCTTGTTTCAGTAGGCAAACCTTCATATGGTAGGACCCAGAAGAATTCTGTCAAAATAATTGAATACAGATTTCAGGAGTTACCCACTGACATCAAAGAAAACATGAAAAGGTTGAACCCAGTGTTCACAGACTTCATGGTTACGCAAGTGGCAATATGCTATTTAATCAGAAGATAGCAGCCATAAAGAGTTAATCTCAGACCCACTAGTTTACAGTTGTATATGCTTGGGACACAGGTTTGGAAAACAGTGATTTTGAGAAACCAGTCATCAAAATTTAACCTGACTCATTTCCCTCATGCTATTACTTGTTAGAGAACCTCAGCTGCTTTCAATTTTCATAGCATGCAGAAGGGATAGCAAGACAACATCACGTGAGCTATCTCAAAGGTATTTTACAATACAGAATATTCATGGTCACGTTCAGCCTCGTTCATCAAGGCATGATAAGAAAGGTTTGGAAAGGAACAGAAGCCTTCTTTCTGCAGGGCCATGGAGCACAGCTGAGATCAGCTATCTCCAGGCTCAGGCAGGGGTAACCCCACTTAATCCAGAGGATGCTGGGGGGCTCCCCTCGCCAGCTGCAGAAGATTAGTGCAAAATACACCCTGGCAGCAGAGACAGTGACATATCATCTCTTCCAGATTCCAGACCATGCTTCAACCTGAAGAATTTTCTTAATTCTGAGGCTGCTTTCTGACCCAGCCGTGCACAAACCAACACATTCCTCCGTGGGAGTGAACTGCAGCGAGTTCCTACTGCCTGGCTCTTTGGATTGGTTTTAGCCCTTTGGTTTACTTTAACTTTATCTGTGAAGTATCAGTTTACTTTAGGGTTACAGCCTGTTTTTGAATATTAGCATAAATGTGCTAGAAGCTGTGGTAATCTCAAGACTTTAAACAACTACGGAAACCAAAAAATCTGATGTAAGCCAGCTTTATAAATGTAGGTGCATGTAACTGTACGGGTATGTTTATGCAAGTCTTCATTTGTGCATGACATGTGCCGAGGGAAGCTACACACTGAATGTTTGCATTCGTGCACATGAGCAATAGCACATTTAACTCGCCTTTTGGCATCTGAACCCCATATTTGTGCAGGCACACACAGTATCTGCAGATGTAAATGAGCTACAGAAAAATGCTTGCACCTAGACATCATGCCTGTCATTAAGAATGGCACAGAGACTCAGATCCTCAGGGGCATGTAGGTGCCTAAGACTTTTTGGTCTCTTTAAGCAAGATTTAGGCACCAAATGCTTCTTTAAGGAGCATGGTCTAAGGGATGCACTTCTCCTTTGCTGTGAAAAGCTCACTTCCAACGACTCAGTAGTTTTCTGCTTAAAGCAGAAGGGTCTCGGTCTCTAGTACTGTAAGCATTGACTATTTTGTAGAGAAGCAACCTAAATCTATTAAAATAGAAACAATTGCACTGACTATGGTTTCATTTCAGAGGGCACAGAAAGGAGCCTGCAGCTCCATCATTTGCTGGGAGCAGAGAGCTGCTCCTCCCGGCTTCCCCTTGCATTGCAGTTCTAAACTGTGCACTGCTTGGAAACACATTTATCTGGTGTGTGCACCAGGAACAGGATTTATATGCTTTTGTCCTACATGATACATTTTCCAAAGTGGCCTCTTAATGCCTGAATTCTCTCTGTTTACACTTGAGAATTGATATGTATGTACAAATCAGGGAGACAGGCTCTCAAATTCTCCCTCCTTTCTGCAAAACAAAATACTTCTTTTTTGGCAGAAATCACCAGCTTTAAGCACAAGTGAAACACCACAGTGTTCCCTAAATGTATCCAGAGGTTTCTCTGGAAACTTCTGCCCTACCCAGTGAGTTCGCCCAACCTTGGTTTTGTACTGGGTCTGGCTGGGATGGAGTTAATTTTCTTCATAGCAGCCCATATCATGTTGTGTTTTGGATTGGTGACTGGAGAAAAGAGTGAAGGTGAGTGTTTCAGGCTGAAACTATGGACAGAATGTCTTCTAATTTAAGATGCTGTCACAAGTAGCTAAGGTTTAAACAAAGCTTTCACTTTTAAAATGAAATCTAGCAAGTAATCAGTCTGTTATGGTTTTAGTTTCCAGTTGCTCTCAATCTGGCAACCCTTCCCTGCTGTAAAATCACTTAAAACCAAAGAGTAACCATTGGACTGGAACATTCTAAGCCAAGTTTCACCTTGGAATAAACAGTCCTAAGTTAAAAATTCCTAAAATTAGGATTTCATAGAAGCAGAAAAAATTCAAAGTGACACTACAGTTTCTAAGGCTAAAGAGTGACACAAACATCTCCGGTTACCTTTTGTTCCTCATATGCTTCTTTGAGACAAATGTAATTTGTCAGTGCTCTCATTGCAATTGGAAGCTTTCCAATAGCCTTCAGGTCCACAGGTTTCTTGTGAGCAGATATAATAAGAGTATTCATCCACCAGTAAGTCGCCTTTGAGAGCAAATTGACAAATGGCTGCAGAAACCTCACCCCCAGGTCCTGTAGATCCTCTGGTGGCTTTACTTTCTGAGGGTTCATGAAAAAAACATACCTCTGGAGAGGAGAAAATAGACAGCATGTGCTCAGGAATTACCTTATTAACAGTAATTTTTAGTAAAAATTATGTATAATACAACTACAGTGTCATATTTGCATTTAACGGTAATTATACATTGAATTTAAATATAAATTTGCATGTAAATAGGATCATTTCCATGTTGAAAGCATAACTGGTGAGGAATTGAGCAATATGGTATGTGGACACAGCTCTGTAGCCTACCAGTACCACCTATCTCTATCTGAACAACAACAAAAAAGAGTTCTTGAGTTATAATTATATTTTAAATTATTGTCAGTAAGAATGTATGCTAACTTGTACATTCACTACATATATAGTTTATCTGCATTAACATAGCATATATTGTATAGATTACATACACATATACCCTTACAAATATGCATGAATATCTATACAAATACATATGCACTCTCTGTGTGTATACATATACACAAGCATACATACATACCAAGTCCAGGGGACACATCAAGGACATACATTTTAAAGAGATGCCAGGTCCCATTGATTTCTATAGAATTAACCAGATACTTATGGCTAAGCTAAACTTGGGCCTAAACTTGACACAAGCCAGAGTTACTGGGACTAAAGACCCATCTTCATCCCCAAGATACTACTGATACTTTTTCAGACCCTGATAAAGAACCCACATACCCTAACTCGAATGACATTGATCTCCACAGCCATCAGCAGCCCATAGAGAATGACCATAATTCCAGTGATGCAGAAACGCAGTTGAGAAAATGACACACCATCCTGGCAGTATCTGACAAGCTTGATCGTTTTGGTGACAAAGGCCATTATCCAGTAAAGAAAGAGAGCTGTAAAACATGCATAATTTAAAAAAAAAAAAAAAAAAAAATTGACTACACCAGCACTGCAGAAGTTTTAGCTCTCCCAAACAGAACTATTCCATGGCTTAGTGCAATGCAGGCACGGTGATCCTCTATATCGCCAGCCTGCAGGCTGGCGATGTGTGATGTCAGCCAAAGTCAGGAACTCAGGTTCAGGAGATTTGCTTTGCACTTCCTTTTCCCAAGTCACTGTTTTCTTTCCTGGGCCATCACCCTTCAAAGAGATCCACAATAGTGGGTCTTCACACAATTAGAAAAGTCCACTAAAGGTAATCTGAAGGGGAACTTTATTATTAAAATGAAGCAAAAGTCACTTAACATGACAAATATCATATTGTCTCTTTGAAAAAGCATGGTGCATATGGAAAGATGCTCATTTTGAAAAAGAGTTCATATAGTATAATTATATCCTGCATCCTGGCTTGTATCTGTCAATGGCTCATTCAGGTTGTTGAGTTATATGTAATTTGGACAGTATGCCTGTACGAAACATTATCCTGCGATGTCTAGTCACATTCTTCTGACCATCTCCTGACTTAGACAGTAGACTGGGTAACCTCAGAATCAACTGCAAAGAATGCTGTGAAACAACAGCCATTTGCACAGGATGATTTTTGATTACTTTTAAAAGTGGCCTTTTAAAATAGCCCTTTTGAATGAAGACAAGTTTTTGCCTCAAAATAATGAGCAGTGTTAAAAAATAAATACCTAAAAGCTTATGCTAGAAATACAATAGGCATACAATGCTTTTCCTTTTGTGATCACTTTCAGAAAGTTTTCAGGGTGTACGTTATAAAAGGTGCAATAACTCCTACAATAATACTAGTTCAAAAAGCAGAGAATTATTCCTCTCTCTTTTTTAGTATTCTCATTCATTTCACCATCCTCTTCAATCTACGCAAGCTGACTGTGGCTAACTCACTGGGTTTTGTAAGAGTATCTAAATTTTAGACTTACCCAACAGTAACTTTGGAAAGTTAGATGTTTCAATATTGTGGTAATAGACTATGGATACAGTGGCAGCCACAAATCCCATTATAGCTGGTAGAAAGAGATGCAGATGGCGAGATTTCATTTGTCTGAAAATAAATAAGGTATAAATTAGTGAATTTGGTGTCTTTTTTTCACCACTGTTACATTCCTAGGGTTCTGCTAATCTATTTAAGAGGACAAATATGACTTTCCTAGAGACAAAAAGATTTTTTCCATGTGAATGCTTTAACTTTTGTCAATATTGTAAATATTGACAATAAGAGAATAACAAAGTGCTAAGAACAATCGTTTCGCCTTCATCCCATTAAAATCGGGGCAGTTCATGAAATGATGCCCCATCTTTTGGGGGGAAAAACTCCTTACACCTTTTTAGCCAGCTCATCACTCAATAACACTTTACATTAACGAATGTAATTAGCTTGGCTATCCACCAAACACCATCACTTACGTATCGGAAACTATGCCCTCTGCTATTTCACACACATGTACAAACAGGAGGGTGAATGTCAGGATCCACCGCAGGTTGTGTCCAGGGAAGTGCAGCCAGGTATTGTGGTGAATCTGGACTTTGGAGCTTTGGCTTCCCCAGCCTGGGAAATAATAGTAATGAAAGAGGAAGGTTATCACACAGCCAGCCAGTGAGTGATCTGGTTATCAATTCCCTATTCTAATCCATAGGTCACACTTAATAGTATACAATTAATACAAAACCCCTACAAGAATATGAGGGCTGTTTTTACTAATAAGATGACCCAGGAGTGTCTGAGTTGCCATGTAGCCCCCCCCTAATTTTGATCTAACTCTGTAGACAATGGGACAACAAGCTTCCCACAATTGCAATCAAAGAAAAGAGGTCCCCAGGCAAGAACAATGATGAGAAAACCAGAAGAAATGTCTCAGAGTCTCACCCTCACACAACAGGGACTGACAGTTCCTAAGTGATGGCATCATCATGTCTTTCCGAGTCATAGACAAGAGTGGGAAAAGTTTCCAACTGATAAAAATGTTGCATCCTCCAAAGAGGCCTCAAAGAGATATATTTACTTCAAACAAATAAAATTTATTATCTTTGTTTCAGGCCTGGTTGGTAGCACTGTCTCAGGGGATGCTGAATGGCAATTTCCCAATCTCCACTCCTCCGGCACAGCCCAGCCTCCTCACCCTGGCACATGAAAGCTCACAGCACAGCACCAGGACTCAGCTGATTTAATCAACAAATTAATCTTGAAGCCTATTTCCATGTCATCACCTCAGATGGCACCTATCCTTTTCAGGCAAGATCCTCTCTGAGCCCAGCAACCTGGCAAGAAGTGGGACACCAAGGACCTGATGGATGTGACAGTGCTCGGGGAGCTGAGGACCGATCAGAGGTCAGCCTCTCATGACGGCGAGTCTGTCCTGCATGTTGCTTTGGCCTTGGTCCTGTCCCACCTGGTACAGGGCTGTCCTAAGTCAGCCCAAATGGCTGTACATGTCCCTCTTACTGTAAGGCAACTCCTGGAATTCCCTGACAGACTTCCTGAAGCCCATTAGAGAATCCCAAGAACAGCACATTTTGGGGTAGTAAAGAAACAAATCAAAAGAAAACACAAACAACTGAGTTTAAAACCCAGGATGCGCTTTTGATACACAAGGATGCAGCATCTCATTGTTCCTAGAGGCTCATCAGGTGACTCAGAGAAACATAAACCAGAGCCCGGGTTTATTCGTTCTTGGAAACTGTCCGGATTTCACCATTTCATCCTTGTTTAGTATGCGAAGTACTGCAGGAACGAAATATTCTCTCTTCTCCACATCTGTCTCAAGCACTTTCTATAGTTTCCTGAGATTTTCCTAATCTAATGTGGCTTTCTTTGACCTTGCTTCTATCTTTGTCTCTCCCAAGCTGCTTTTCATTTCTATTTCCTCTTTGCCCATACATCTGCACAAACACAGTTCATCATCAATTTTTGGTTTTGGAGTCAGTCAATACTGTGGATGCCAGTTGGCTTTTAATGTTCTGTTCAACAACTATTTGTCCTGATAACCAAGGTACAAAATAGAAAACAAAGAATTACATACATACATACCTACCATAGAATTTAAGCTATTATTTTTTTTCTAACATTGTTAGAAAATAGAGGGAATTTTCAGTGGCTGCAATGCTATTTCAAAATTAAATGGCTAATACCTGCAAAAAAACTAAAGCAGCCTGCTATCACTTGATGCATAACACAGAATGTTGTAAAAGATTATCTCTGCCCTCAGACGTTTTCATCAAACACTTCTGCAGAAAGCCCTGTAATTCAAGGATGACTTGCATCTCATCTTAAAGAAAAAGCCAGCACTGACATAAAGATCCAGCACTGTTGGAGAGAGTTCTCCCTAACCCTTTGGGTTTTTTCCAGTCTTTAGTTATTCTTTTGTTAGAACTTGTTTCTTATTCCCTTGCCTAATTACTTAATTAGTTTTCAGTCACTGGATCTTGTTACACCTTTGATTGCTGGGTACTGAGCGTCTTAGCCCACAGGTTCCTGTGGCCCTATTATTCAATCACTTCAGAGTCTTTTTGCATAATGGAAATCCTTAAATCTCTAGTTTGAATATAGTCTCAAATTCAAATCTTCCTTGTGGAAGGAATGTATTGCTATGGATGTATGTGACACCAGGAAGGTAACATGGAAGAACTGACATGCCATTTCTCATGCAGTTGTCAGGATAATATTTATTTTTATTAATACTTATTGCCTTTTGACAGTTATTCAAGTCTCTTTGTCTCCTATGATCAGTTAGAATCTGTTTGACAGCTCTGAAAAAGTATTAAATTGTATTTATTTCATCACTGCAAATAACTAGGATAAAGACACAATATAGAGAAAAAGTATCATTAGAGTACTGGTTTAGATGGGGCTTTTTACAAGAACATGTGAGTTAGGGCCACTCCACTGTCCTAAATTCTTCAAGAGAGATTTATAATTTCTTATTTTCATTCCTGTGGAAAAAGATTATCTCTTTTGCTCTACTTCTGTTTACAAATGTTGGCAAAAGAAGTAATTACTCTGTTTTAAAAGTTTCCTACACTTCTCCTAGCCTTAGATCCAAGTTGCACATTTTGGATATTCTCTGAAATTCACATCACTTGAAGGGAATTCAGACCCACTGCCCTAAGTCTTCTAATATCTAATAATAGCAAAGGTTGCAAGCTGCCAATTTCAAATCTGAAGAAAACTTCTCCAGAGAGAAGCCTCCAAGCACATATAAACATGAGTGAGTAAAAATACATGCTCAAGTGTTTGTAGGATTGCACAGCTCCATTGAATAACTCACCAATGAACAAAATTGGGAAGGTGATAAATAGCAAGAAGACATGGGGAACCAAGTTGAGGGCATCCACAAAGCAGACATTTCTTAGGACACCAGCACTGATGTTATAGGCTGAAGCATTGTCGTTACCACAAAATGCGAGCCTCATTGCTTCCAGAAGGTCTGACTACTACAAAAAAGAGAGAATAATTGACTACCAAGACTGCTAGCATTCCCTTTAGCTAAACACAAAATAAATACAACAAAGAGATACAGAAGGAGCACGTGAACAACACACAGAGAATAATTCAGTTCTATTTTGAAAATTCTTTTGGGCTCCATCAAGTATAAGCAAATTAGAATGAAGGCTGTGTTTATGTTAAAAGAATATTATTTATATTTAGTTAATATTTATATGTATTTATATTTATGATTTATTATAAGTACTATTTATTAAATACACTACGCTATGTCTTCTAGTGTTCATTATATGCACAGATCTTATGCTGCAAATGCTCTATGAGAATATAGAGAAAGAACAAGAAAGTTTTGAAAAAAAACTTATTTCTATTTCTCATAAGAAAACTCAAATGCACATAAGCTGACTCCCGTGTGTTAGTGCTTCCTTGATGAGCCAATATTCTCTGTGCAACACCTCTGTTCATACAATTTGTTGCACTACATTCTCAGTGCAAGCTCTGAACCTTTGGTATTTGTGATTTGGCAGCTTTGCATTCACTGATATTTTGTATTTCTTCATTGTCCCTTAGAACAATGGTCACATACACTAGTCATTACAGATAATTGCCAAACTCTTGATCAAAGAAGGCTATATTGAAGATTGCATAGACAGTAAATCAGCATTTATGGTTGATCTTGCAAATCCTTATGCACGTGCTTAGCCTCACCTAAGCAGTTCTCTGACTTCCATGATTTCTTATAAGATTATTTTTGTACACCAAGATAAGCTCATGCGTTCGTGCTTGCAGAGTGTGGGCCATAGTATGACCCAGAGTTATGGCCAGCTTCTGGCTTTTATCAACTTACGCATCGTTTATTTTTTCATTCTTCTTTATAAGAAGATGAAACAAGATTGCAACCAAAATGTTTCCTTGCTGATTTCTTTGCCTGAGACTTATACACAGCAACATAGTGCTACAGAATAGGTTGTGTAAACTCATTTGCTCACATCTTTTTTTCCAAATTTTACATACTAAAAGGAAAGAAGATCTTTAATTCAGCAAAGTATATGTATACTTCGGTGAATGCATCTTTCTGCAACAACATTGGCATTAATGAGTTTTGCAGAATCAGAACAATATAGACATGCAAAAAATGCATGAACACAGTTGAAAAAAAAGTTAGTTGAATCGGGATAAAAAGGCTTTCCTTGTTTCCTGAAATAGTTCAGGTTAGTTCTATGAGCCTAGTTGTTTAAACAAGGTAAGCATAACAAGGCAAGCATAAACTACTCAAGTACTCCCTTAGAGAGAGCAGAAACATACAGATCTTCAAAAGAATACAGAGTTCAAAGACACACTTTGAACCTCTGCTAACCCCCTTTTTCCTTTTAACTAACTTTTTGCTGGATCTGAAAAGCATAATCCATATTGAAATACATCAGTGAAATTTGTAAAGGCGTTTCATTGAAAAGAATGTGATAAATGCAGTCTCTTTTCCAAACATATCAGCAGTTTATGGTCTGAGATTTGCCAGAAGTTAAGCATAACTCAGAGTCATATGGTGGACCACATCCTGCAAAAATGCATGCATGTACTTACTGTGGTGCAAAAGCTGATGGGCAACCCACTCAATCTTCAGTAGAAGGTGGAGAGTTTGGCCCATTCTCTATAATGAATAGAGTGATATGACCACTATCATCCTATCATTTCATTTTTATGCATATGATTAGTAACACAAAAGAAACATTATGTTCATATGAATTCTGTCTGAATAGACTGAGGAGTTATTAGCAAAACAAATAGGGAATTTTTTAAAAAACTACACAGAGATTGGTTTTAATTTGTAAAAGCTCAACATGTCTCCTTTAAGAGAAACATAATGGTAATGATAATCTCTTGAAAATCAGAAGTGTCGTTTCCTCATTTTTATCGAAGGTCAGAAGTCCAAGGGAGTTCTGCTGGGAATTTTCCTCCCTTTCCCACAAAGAGGACTCTTTTCTGAGACAGTGTAAGACGCTATTGTGGTCTAGTGGTTGGATTGGTACCGAAAGGCAGGAGGATCCTGGGTTCAAATGAGCATTGAATCATTGACTTCCAGTGTAGCTTTTGGCTTTTAGTCAAAAATAGATCTGGGAGAAAGGATTAAAGCCATCTCCAAGAGAAGCTAAGGGAAGTGTTGTTTTTCTTCCATTTTTTATGGAAGGGAAATGGAATATAGGTAGTAGGTGTTCCTGTGGAAGAAAGGACTATTAACCGCACGGAGAGTGCTATCTGCTAGCTAGGACCTACCATCAGGTTGTAGACGTTTCATATTACACCTCAAACAATGGTCCTTAAAAGCTCTCAAGAAAGATGCATCTTTCAAGAGTCGCATCTGAATCTTCACAAGAATCTGTGCTGTGCCTAGTTTTGTGATGGAGTATGTCCAATAACATACTCTTAAAACCAACCGTCCTTTGCACGTTGGCAGGGCTGAGGAAAGAATCTGGCCCTATTGTTAATACTGATGTATAGAGACAGTACCCATCATACTGATGATAATTCTCAAGAGTAGGTATAAGCAGTCTATTCAAAATACTTTTGTTACAGGTTCATTTCAAATAAGAGGTAGAATTTAATTTTCTTCTCTTAAAATGAGAGAGAAAATAAAAAAGCCTACATTGGTCAGTTTGTAAAAAAAAACAAAAACAACAGAAAATCAGAAAGGTTGCATTGCCAATGAAATGAGATAGGGTAATTGACAATAAATTCCCAAGTTTTTAAATTAGAATACACTTCATTAATCAGCACATCCAGTGACCATGTTCATTAAACCTCCACACGCTTAAAATCTATCAAAACATTCTGATCAGTCTCATGGTGCTGTGTTGACCCAATGCAACTTATGATTTGGCCTCATAAAACACTCACCAGGTACAACTTCCCTTTTTAGCAGCACCCACTTCAAGACACACATCTAGTACAGTATGGTACTGATAGGGAATAGAAGAGGTAAGAACTGTAGAAGCATTAATAGCCCAGCGATCCTTCTTCCCCCCTTCCTTCCGTTCTTCCATCCATCTGTCCATCCACAGTGTGCTAGAAATGAGCTATGACTGGAAGTGGAGGACTCATGTTCTGCATCTGTTGGTGTATGCCACCTTTCATAGACATTTTCTGGTGTTTATGCAGACAGACAGCTAGTAGTTCTCTGTATCTTCAAGAGCAGCGTGTGAAAACACTGCAGTACATTAAAGCTCTAAGAAATAATTTTATCTCCAATGTGCCTCACAGGGAGCAAGTAACCACCCCATCATTCCCTTCCCATCCATTTCTGGTGCAGAAGGCAGATCCGATATACCCTCCAAAGTTTTGCCCATGTGACTCAAACCACTGGACCTTGCTCTGTTTTTTGGAAAACTTACATACATATGGGGCTCTGGAGATGCACTGATGCACAGGCTCATCACCCCAAGCATAAAGCATGTCATGTAGTTTCTATTTCTTTGCTCAAGTTTCACAGATAGGGGAAATATATTGGATGAAATTTTTCTGACGTGTAAGGGAGGATGCTTTGCATTTACAATCAATGCGAGTGAGACTCCCATTTTGTTTGAAGCTGAAATTAGCCATTACTTTCCACTGCATCAGGGCATGCCTCCAGAGGATCATTTTCATTGGCCTCAAGGTTTAACAAGCTGTGTTCATTTCCAAAGGACAGAAAGAAAAGCCCCTAAGGCAGAAGAACAAGTCCTTGACTTCTCTAGACAGTATGGGGCAATTTACAACAATGCTTGTGCAGCTCCACTAAAAGTTAACAGGAGTTGGACCATGACAGGTTTCACAATGCAATTGCTCATCCAAGGAAACAGTGTAACCTTCAGTCTTCTTCAAAGGAAAATTTGATAATAAAATGGCAAAATTTTTCTTGCCAACACTCAGATCCCATGCTTGCAAAGCTCTGCGTAGCTACAGATGAACACATTCTTAGGGCTGCAAACAGTGCAAGTAGCATGTTCAAAAGCTTCAGAACAATTTGAGAGTCTAAGCTGCATTTTCAAACAGTATTTCAGTGTTGGGAGTTAAGGCTAAAGAGATCTTTAATAATTCTAAAAATTTTAGAGTTTTAAAAGGCCTCAGCTATACTGACTTTTCACTCAAAAAAACAAGCCTGGAAATGATGACAATTTGGAAGATCTTGACTGCAGATAACCAATGAAAGGCAGAGTGAAAAGGCACTATTCCCTCCTCTTGTGTAAAACCATAAGATTTCACTTCATGAAATGAAAATGTGAAATGGAAGAACAAATTCAGAAAAATCACGAAGAATTGCAGTTATGCTTACTGTTGTAACTCATCAAAAACTGCAGCTGGAGTTAGAAAGGAAGATGGAACACTTCTATGGCTGATCACTGACCAAATTTTGTTCCCTTAATAATAATGAAACTATTCTTCGATTGGCTTTAACTCTTCTAGTAAGCCAATGACGGGCTTCAGTCAGAACTAGATCTGTAGAGAGGTGAATAGAGGTATCTTGCCTATGCAAGGAAGTGCTGTTTGTTTCAGTCAGTGCTGAGCATTGTGCAAGTACATAGTTAAATACACTAAAGACTTTTTATATTTTTCCCGAGCACCAGCTGTTGATCATTGCCAAAGACAGAATGCTGACCACACCGAACAAGTCTAACCCTGTAACAGATAGCCATGCTGAAGGTCTTTGAATTAGCCCTAAGCACGTCAGAACACAGAACTGACTCAAGGTTTCCCACAGTGTAGCCAAAGGTGATTTTCTCCCTACCAAAGATGAGGAGAGAGACTTTTTAGGCCACAGTAAGTACGCAGGGAGACATCAAAGAGGAAAAACTGGGCTGCAGAGCCACATGAGGAGAGAGTAGTTGAAGAGACTTCTGTTGTCAAGGGGTGGAAAAGCAGTTATTGCTGCAACTCAAGAGAGGTTATCACATTCCATAGCAGCAATTGCCCTCCTACAGCTGCTAAGACACCTTCCTTGGTAACACTGGCAGCAGCCCAAAGCTGGCCTTCCTGGAACTGTACATCGGTGAATTAAGCAGCAAAGCCAGATGGTTTTATCACCCTCAGCAGTCTGCTGCTGTAGGCAGCTACCTGCTTCGCTGTAGGCTACACAGACTAGTAGAGAGCCATGCAAATACTAGTTCAGCCTCAGAATTAATGGTCTTAATCACCATGGTGCTGTTCCCAAGATAAGAAGCCCTGCTCACAGCAAGCTTGACATCGGTGCTTAGTTGTTGCAGTTGCCATACTTCAATTCCAAAGTTGGCTCATGCAGGGCTCTCTCAAGCACCCACGAGCCATAGGGCATTACAGCAGAGAAATATCTGCTAGTTTCTTAGCAAATCTTTATCTATGGGTCCCAAAGGCAGGGATAGTCACTGGGAAGCAAAGGACTCTTCTTCTCATATGGACTGCCAAGACCTTTTCTCTAAGCTCATGTTCAGGTCGTAATCTTTGGAGCTGAAGGCTTCTTTACAGGCAGAGGGCTTTGTCTAGCAAACAGCAATGTCTGCAAAAACTGGGAGCAGTCCGACTGCCACATTAAAACAATAAAATGCATAACCCAAACACAAATATTTGGGAGAGAACAGACAAAAGGGTAGCAAGTTGTTTTGAAATTTATTGGCCAGCTGAAGTTACTGACCACTATTTCTCATCAGGTAGTAGCAGCCTTTCAGAATAACTGATGAGATCCTCATTTAAGAAGACAACGCTATTCATACTTGCTACAAAAAATGGCTTTCCCAGAGATAATTTCCCTTTCTGTTGAATATAGTAGGCCACCAAATTATGCTGGGGTGATTACACTGAAGAGAGTACATCGCAATATATTCACTTCACTGCTAATTATAGCAGGAATGTTATACTTCATAATTACGTTGACAACCATACTAGGTTTAACCTAGCATTTCAGTCAGGGGAAATGCAGTGATGTGATAAAGTTTACCTGAAGGTACCAGCTACATTCAGAGCTCCAACAGGAGTTCCAAGTACCAGGTAATTTTTTGTTTTAACACTTAAAGACTGGAAGGCCTTTGTCCTTCAAAGTTATTGACAAATTGCTCAGTCTTTACAAAGTCTTGAACTGGTCAGAAATTTTCAGAGGTGTTTCTTCTTTCTCCTTTTGAAAATGGCATTTGCTGAGCAGTTGGCTACAAGCTAAAGCCATGAGCAAAACAGAGGATGGGAATGGAAAGAACAATCAGGAGGACAGGCCCATGATGATGCCAGTGGAAGGCAAGATTCAGCTCTCCTTTACACCATTGGGGAATCTGATTCCCTGTTGGTTTACTTTAATGAGGATGTGAACTATCTGAACAGCAGTTTACACTGCAATGAAATAGCTAAAAAAACTTATGTCCTTTAAGCATTTAAATTTGCATGCTAAAATCCCCATCACTGGCAAGTTGAGACTTTCTGGTTTTGGGCTAAGGTGTACAGACATAGTCATAATATAATAAACAGAAACCAGTACAAAAGAGATTCAGGAATAAATATTCACTGTGAGGAAGAAAAAGGTTTGGGGAAGAAAAAAATAGGACAAAATTGCAAAAATTAATATGATGTAGCATTGAACCTAAACACTTACAAATCTCATTTTAACAAGCATAAATGGGGATTCTCAGGGCAATAAGCCAGTTCCTGAGATATATTTTCCACAAGCAATTGTTAAGAAGACAATGGGAAAATGGTAGATAATTTAAATTTCCATAAAAATTATGAGAACATCCTTGCCAAATGCAAAACTGTAAGATTTCTAGTTAAAGACATTTTAATTACCTTAGCTATTTTAAAGTGGGCTTAAAAGTCTTCATATTCAAGAGTTTCATCTTACCTGGATTATCACTCTGTTCAGCATGCTCTGCAAGATACTTATGATTATAAAGAAAAGAGTATAAATACACTCCTCACGTGGACCTTGTTTGGGGGAAATAAGAATGTTCTGAAAAACATTTATTTCAGTAGTTCTGTTGCCTATATTTAAAAAAGAATAAAATTAATAGCTGCACTTCCTAATTAAAATATGTCAGCTTACAGAGCATACTTGGGTCTCAGTTCAGATTTTTTTTTTTTTGGTCTTACATAAAATGGGCTTTATATGCCCATATATGCATATATACATGTATATATATAGATATATACATATGTGTATGCATATAGACACAGGATGGAGAAAGTACTCAGAGTTTACAAAAGTAGTTAGTTCTTATCTTCTGAATAATTAAGTCATTACAAAAGCAAGAATTTTTCCTTCCTTCTTGAATTTCACACAGAAAATTTTAACTAAGGACAAATTATGAATTTATAGGTTTGGATAAGCACAATGGAAGGCCTAACTCTGAGTTTTGCCACAGATTTTAGGTTAGTGCTCTGCATCTTTTTCCCTTCTAGGTATAAACCTAACAGTTTGCTCTTCTTCCCTTCCTAAAAGCACTGGACCTAGCACAATCTGTGTGATCTACAGTCTATGCATTATTTGCAAAGAGTTCTGCTAAGGTAATGGCAAAAAGTGCAGCCCCTTTAAAACCTATTTTATCAAAAATGATCCTGTACAAAATATCATTTTCCTTTTTACTCCTATTTCAGCTGTGACCACCTATTCTAGATAGACCCTGCTTCCTTGCTAAGCACTGTCCCAGTTACCTTGGGCCTTAAGGTGATGAGTTACCTCTGATAGTTGTCAGCATTCTCATCACTAACTGCCATACACCAGCAGCCCGATCCAAACGTTACTGAAGTCAATGCAAGGAATCTCATTGACTTCGGTAGGTTTTTGGATCAGGCTCCAAACACAGAGAAAATCACAACAGCAGTGGTGCTAAACAGGCTATTGGCACTGAAAAGCATTTCACACAAACATCTGCAGTGGTCTCACACATCTAATATATTGCTTTTTTCTTTTTTGGTAAGCTTCTTAACACAATGCGATTTCCAACATCAGCATGCTACACTGCCTGCTGTAAAACCTTCGACTTCACATGCCAAGGCAGGACAGTTTAAAAAAAGAAACGTAACCCTGTGAACAGCAGCAAAGAAAGCATCAGCAGGAGGGGACGGTAAAGGCTGAGAACGCCTGCGAATGGAAAAGGAAAAGGAAAAAGAGATTGGAGTTGTAATCCTAGGAAAGAACGAGGAGCAGCCCTGTCCCACAGATATAAAGGGAAGGAGGAGGAGGTGGTTAGTGGGAGATAATGGGGGAGGGTCATCGCATGCCCCGTTTGGTTGCTGAATGTTAGATCAAACTCTGTAGCTTACCTTTGTAAACACAAAACCAAAATACCAACCCAAATTGTCACTCGGTTGTGCTATGTGATCAATATCATCCCGATGGCAGGATTTTCCTCCACTTAGTGAAGCCGCTCCAAGCCCTGGAGTGGATTATTTTTAGGCTGGTGATGGGAAGATCAGCTGCTGCCTCCTATCGAGTTTCCAAAGTGCACAAACTCTTCTTGTCTTTCTCATACGCTGAAGGGGGCAGGAAACTGGGAAGAGACAGGCAAGCAAAAAGCACCAATTTTTCGCCTCCTGAAGCTACAGTCCCCTGGGATTTCTTCTGCTTGCTTTTATTTTCATTTTTCCCCCACTGGAGTAGTAAGATTCCAAGAGGCTCTATTACAGCGCATGGACTCTTAGCAGATGGTTATTCTGAAGTAATTGATTTAGACAAGGTAGTCTAACTTTTGGCAGGCTTGCAGAGATTCAGCTTTTGATTTCTTTTGAATTAATCTTGGATAATTTGAATTTGACAACATAATTTTGCATGTCTTCCATCATCTTGAGCAGAAGAGAAAAGAGAAGTCTACTCGGATATTTCACTTTACCCTTGATACCTCCAGACACTTCTGCTTAAAATACAGACCAAATGCCACTTTTTGATCACACAGATCTGTTTCTTTTGAAACAGATTTTTTAGAACTTGAATTAAAATTCAAAATTAATTTGATGCTCATACCAGGAATATTGTTTTCAATACAATAGCCCTTATTTACAAGGGATAATATTTTTTGGCTGCAAAATACATTGTACATGTTTACTTAGAGAGAAGAAGTCCCGAGAGAGCCTCCATACAGTCAGTCAGCTTGTTTGTTCATTTTCTTTCAGTGCCATTGAACCAAGATATATCAAGGTTCAGATTTTCCATCATGATAGTTTCACTTGAGCCCTACAACTTGAAGCCACAAATAGGAAAGACCCGGGACTTGGCGGTGCATCACAGGACACGTGGTAGCGCAGGGTGGTTTTGAGCAGAGCTATTCAGTCGTCAGGTACCAGAGCTGGAGGCCCCTGGGACAGAATTTGCTTAGACTTTGCAGAACCCAGGAGTTGCATCTAGATCACTAGAGAGCTAAACAGTTTCCGATGGATTGAGGTCAAAGACGGTTTCATGCCATGAAAGGGTTTACAGTGAGCTCTGAGTTGAGAATATAGTTGGATGGCTGAGGCCAAACACTGGCAGGACTCATCAAAATCTTGGCAAACACAGCTTGCTCCTTTTTCTCTGATGTTTCTTCCATTATAATTGTAGGGATAAGCAAGCGGAAACCTCAGATCTAGAGAAAATTAGCACCTTTTGTTATCTTCCATTGACTTGAAACATCAATGCAGCATTACACTGAGCAACTCAGTGCTCAACAGTCCTCCACGGCACTTGAACACTTTTACTTGTTTTTACTTTTTTTTTTCTTTTTTTTTCCTTCCCTTTCATGTATTAAACTTCAATGCTTTGGAAAAAAAGATTGTGGTTTGAAAGCTTCTGACTTCTGCTATGTATCTATGTTTCATTAAAGAAGACAAAAAATAAACTCTTTAACCCACCTCATCATCATTTAAAATAGCATTGTCATGTGATATTTCTGAAAATACATATTATTTCAGACAGAATTGAGTAGCATTTGTGGTCACAATTTTCTTTACCAAAACATGAGAATTTGGTTCATTGTCATTCAGCTCTGTCATGTCTACGAAATTGTTTAAACAGGAAGGAAAAAAAGAAGGTAAAATGAATGTAGAAGCAACTGGCATGTTTCGTTTTGCTGTTTCTAAATGAAGCGCTTTCGTGCCTCTAAATGACAAGCTAAAATGTTTTGAAATGCATTTTTAAAAGGATTAAGAAAAACGAAAAGCTTTTAAATGTCAGAACACACATTCTGCTCTGATCTGAAGTGTTTTTTAACATCTCGGCTTTTCAGTTTGCCGGGAGGGGAAGAAAAAAAAGGGGGGGGGCAATAACGGGAATTCGAAATATTTCAGGGTACGTTTGGACCTGTAAGGGGACGGAAAACACCACAGGCCGCTTCTCAGGTCCCCCCACGTGGCGTCCGCCACCAGTTTTCCCAGGCCGGCCTCCAGCAGCCCAGCGCTCCG